AGGTTATATTTGTTTTTTTCTTTACATGCCAGCGAGGGAAATAAAAACCAAAAAGATGAAAAACAAAAATAGGATTTTTTTTTTTTTTTTTTTTTTTTTTTTTGATTAGCCGGACGAGGATGTTAGTCCCCGGGTGTTTTATTATTGTTGGGAGCCTTGAAAGTCGACGAGACGATGACTTCGCTGGAAGATTTGGGTTTGAAGTGCACTGTATGCCTATTCTCAAGTGCTACTTTGCTATGCAGATGCTAGATAGAATATCTTATTGAAGACCGCGAGGTCATTTTCACACACATATGCAAGGCACATAGTGTCAATTGTAGATCCACGTGATATGGAGTGGGGGATAAGGGCATATAGTCTCATAGAACTAGCCCTCTGCAGACGGAGTACTCCGTACTATATGGAGAAGCACCGTTGTGGGCAGTGACTTCATAGTTTCGAGAGTGGATATGAGATGTGACTCGGGGTCGCGCTGGGCTGAGCTGGGATGCCGGGGTAGAATCTACTGACACTAGACAGTCTACAGCAATGAAGATTGACAGAACTGAATATTGAAATTTGCATGCACTCCATTCAAAAAAAAAGGGACAAAAAAGGTAGGTTCAACACAGATATGCATCACGACTCCCTTGGGCCCCCGAAATCACCGTCGAACACAAGGGAGTATCAATCATTCAGCCTGCTTAGTACGTTTTGAAACCTGTTCCCCGTCTCTTTTGTTGTTCCCTTTTCTTTTTATCAGAAATGTGTCCTCCGCGCCCATGGGGTGATCGAATTCTTTTTTTGTGAAATTCCCCTCAAATCATCCCAAAGACGTGAAGCTCCTCCATTAAACCCCATCGCCGCAGAACGAAATCATAAAACCGCGGGTCTGGAAGTTTACTTCCGCATGGAGGAAGCTCTCCGCTTGCGGAGCTCATCACGCTTGGCCTTCTCCTCGTGGACACGGTTGGCAAGGAGCTTAGCGTAGTCGTTACTATAGACAAGTCAGTTTCCAATTCCATAACACACACAGAGATGAGGGGAATTCTTACGCAGCGTCACGAGCAGACTCAGCACGGCGGCGCTTGATGGCAACGCGCTGGCGCTTGCGCTGGAGGCGCTGGGGGGTAACCAGACGCTGGATCTTGGGGGCCTTGGTGTAGTCTTGCTTGCCCTCCTTGGTGACGGTACGGCGGATGACGAACTTGCGGACGTCGTCCTTCTTGTCGAGACCGAAGAAGCGACGGATCTTGGTGGCACGCTTGGGGCCGAGACGCTTGGGAACGACGGTGTCGGTGAGACCGGGGAGCTCGCCCTCGCCCTGCTTGACGATGGAGAGAGCGAGAACGGCAAGGTCCAGACCGGTGATGGCACCACGGACGGACTTGCGCTTGCGCTCACCGGTGCGGCGGGGGCGGTAGCAGCTGTGGCCGTCGGCGAGGAGCAGACGGGTACGGGTGGGGAGGAGAACTGTTATTGCGATGAGTATATTGTCGTTTGGAGTTGGGATGTTTTTTTGTCCAAAAAAAAATTAATCCCGAATATTGTGGGCTCTGTACGTACCACCCTGCTTCATGGGGAAACCTATGAAATCGTTAGCATCGTTGTTCTCATTAAATGCCGCTCTCCAATATCACAAAGGGACATTGGAGATGGAGGGGTTGTGTGCGTACCCTGCTTGTCGTTACCACCGGTAATCTTGAAGATGTAACCCTTGAACTCGTCGCCGAGAGCGTCACCGGCAACCTGAGAAACAAATTCCAATTAGCCAGTCGTTCATATATTCGTGTGCGGGTGATCATGGTCGAGTTGTGTTCGGTGTCTGGAGACGATGAAGGGGGAGTGCTGACTTCGGTGCCCATGCGCTTTTCCATGAAGGGACGGAGCTTGCGCTCATCGTCGACCTCGATGATCTTCTGCGACCCATTGGCCGGGTAGGAAACGTTAAGCTTCATCTTGACGGAGGCGGCGCGGTCAAGACGGTAGCGCTGATGTTGTCGACGGGTGAGGTTGTCGTCGAAGGGATCTGTAGTGTGGATTTTTTTAGTTCGCCGGCTTAGCGAGCGATTGTGGGCGCGTCACGTGTGGATTTTGGGTCAAGTCACGTGGAGTAGGGCTAAAATCCTGCGGTCATGTGAGGTCATGTGACAAATTCCTCCCCAGCCTATCGATTTTTCGTCCTTCCTTTTCCTCTCCTCCCATTTCCTCATTCGTCAGCTGTGACGGCTTTATGCAAGATCCCGCAGGCATGATGCGAGATGTCTATCGGGACTTCGTGCCATGGAGGTCTAATTCAAATTGAAATCCAGACGGAGACTTTCTTTTTATTTCGGATCATTTACATTCGTACATTCGTACAAATCTCTTGTGGACAATCACACCCGACACATCCTTTGACCATCAAACGCTCAGGGTCACACCCGCTTTGGAACTAACACAATCTTCATTTAGAGGTGCGGGGAATCCAAGACTCGTAGGGCAGCTTTTGAACATGGCCGACCGTGTTTAAGACCTGAAGAATGTCTCGGGACCTGGTCTGGACTTCTGGACCTCTCATAATTTCTCAACTGGACTGTCTTTCGATTGTTTCGGCATTACCGAGTAAAGCACTTCTGAATTGACAGGGTACGTTTTAGATCTAGAATCACCCAGAGTACTCCGTATAACCACACAGCAATCGCAAAATGGCGAATCAGGTCTTGAGCAGTGCTTGCCGACCTCGGGAGGACCGAGTGATTTATTGATAGGGTATGTTTTTGCTCTCAACAGATTAGACGTGGGTAACTTTAATAGCCTTCGCTGATCATCGCCATACTACTATACTTGTGGATCTGGGGTATACAATGTCTTGGCGTCATGGGTGTCGTATAGATTGCTGCATTGGGCTCTAAAAAACACTCATCTGATATCCTCGGGGAATATCCAATAAATCAGCTGGTTCAGCGTCAAGATTTGGACGAGAAAGCCTGTGATAAACTAAGACAGACAAGACAACATGGCAGGGTTGGGTATTCCTGAACCTGTCTATTGCGAATGGAAAGCCAATCTAACCGCGGAGTATAATATAGGCACACGTACTCGTATCCTCGTATCCTCGTACGCTGAATGGGCGGAAGTCCAAATAAGCCCCAAGCGCACGCGATGATTTGCCAATTTCGCCTGCAAGGCGACTCGGCTCTGCCCGAGCCACGCGGCCGGTCTGTAGTGCAAAGTCTTATGTTGTCCGACATCTGCTAGGGGTTCCTATCTTCCAAGGTCGTTTTGCTCCGTTTCAATTTTCCCCATTGTGATCACTTCGTATTCGCAATTCGGAGCGTCCTCGTGTCTCTCTGCCCCTTCTAGACCCATCCGAGTTTACCGGTATCCATCCCGAGGTCGGAGTGGAGATATCGTCGTAATCTCCGGGCGATCTCTGCGTGCTTGTTTCTTCTTCGACTCGCCGAATTTGAACATTTTGTCACATTTTGACCTGTTGCGTGAAGTTGGAGTATACCTTTGAATTGCTGTCGAGGCAGTTGTGGCGATTTTGAACGCATCCAACGACAGATATATGACTTGAAAAAAACCAGGCTTGAACAAGGGCAACCTCTCCGCCTGAGGGCTCTTCTGCGCCATTCGCCATGGTCCGCATGTTCAATCGGTTTTACGTGCTGTGTGCACTTGCAGTGGGCACGATCCTGACATCGGCATGGTTCTTAACCTCACGACGATTGTCGGATATCTTGCCTCTGCCTGTAGGCCAGTTCCAAGTAACCAGCACATTTGATCAGCGATTGGTGGTCTTTGGAGATTCATGGAGTGATAACTCAAACTCAACGGCGAATTCACAGGGTCCTATATGGACCGATTGGCTTTGTTCGATGGTAAGTCGGCCCCCAGTGGGCGCAAAACCAGATTAACTGGGTATCAGATGTCCTGTCACCAAGAGAACCTGGCGCAGACCGCAAGTCCACTCCGCGGCAGGAACCTCGGCGCCGTTGTCGACAACCACGAACTCGATCTTCTCGGACGGCTCTCGCAAACACGTCTTGCAGACTTTGAATCCCAGCTCGAACAATGGCTAGCGGCAGAATCAAGCTTGGATCTTTCCGAGGAAGCATCACGGTACCGACAGAATCACACCATTTTCGTGGTGTCGTTTGGCGTGTGGGACCTTTGGAGCTTGATTGGCAAGGACTACGACACAGCACGCCAGTCGGTCGAGCGTCGCATTGCACGAATCATGGAACACCTGGACGATCTGTCGGCGCGTTGGAGCACGTCAGAGTTAAAGGTGATTCTGACGCAGACGGTTGACGTGACTTTCCTCCCGGGATTTGACTCGGCAGAGCCATCCAAGGATGCAGTCCGGCTGTTGGGAGATTGGAACCTGAAGCTACGGGAGGCGGCGACAAAGTGGGCCCATGGAACAATCTATCTATTCGACACAAATGGATTTGTGATGGATCGCATCCGCGATTACCAGCTTTACGCGGCAGGAATCGAAGAGGAGAGCGGGCTAGGGCAGAATTTGGACGGGTGGATGAACGTCATGGAGCCTTGCGTTGCGAGTGGATTCCAGGTCATGATGTCAAAAGAGAAGACACAGTGTGAGCAGCCGGAGACGTATTTATTCTGGTAAGTGATCGACGGCCTGGGATGCCTGGTTTACTCCATACTGACCGGGCCAGGAACGAGATGCATCTGGGACCTACTGCACATCACCTTTGGGCTCGGGAGATCTATCGTGGGATCGATGGAATCTTTTGACAGAACGCCACACCCGCATTGCAGCTTAGACATTGTTCTGACTTTGGGTTCAATGCCGTTCCAATTTGTCTCGCAAGGGATGCAGTCGGTACCCGATCCAACGGGTTATGTCCGACTATCCTTGATGCGGGAGTAATGGCCATGTTTGAGAATCGGGAAATGGGAAGCAAATTTTTTTTTTTTTCATTGAAAGGTGGAGTCTCTCTAGAGCTGATTTGACAGATCTCAAAAAAAAGGGAGGAAAAAAAAGACACGGTAGTAGTGTCAAACTGGGAAAACTGGAACGTGCATCTCTACCCGAGACCAATGACTCTGTTTTAGGTGCTAGTATTCTTACTAGGATATTCACCTTGATTTTTTTCATTTTTGGATTTATTTTTTATTTCATCATGACCTCGGTCAACAGATAATCAAATTCACTATTTGGAATCAAAGGTCTAACAAAGACAAAGGCCCAGACTAAAAAAGGACCAAAAAAAAAAGCACCAGTTTGTTTGCCCAATTTAACGGGGAACCGAATCCACGTCCGGCCCAATGACAGTGGCGGATACGCAGTGGACAGACCAGGGTGGATAGCCCGATCCAGCGGGTCGCCGCATCCGGAGACAAAGAAAACAATGGCCCTAGCCTCTTGGCCCTGCTTTTTGCGATTCACTGTGGATTTTAGTCTGTGGATTGGTATTGAGTGGAGTGGACTGGACAGTGGACAGTGGACAGCCTTAACAATGTATACCACCTCTCTATATTGACACCTTAGAAAGGGAACCGTGTCGTTGATGTCTAGATTATTACTAGGATACTGATTCTGATATTATGGAGTATGGTAGAATTTCTTTTTCTCGGTTGGTTCGGTCAGAATAGCAATCCAGAGAGCTATTGTCAAAGACTGCCGCTAGACAGGGATCCCGACCCCAAAGACAAAGAAATCCTCTTTAGGGCTCTGGACGCCAAACGCTATACTTCGCTTTGTTTCCCCCCCTTCTACCCCCCTCCAGTCTCTCTACTCGCCTCTGTTTGACTTTTCCCTTTTTTTTTAATTGCGATTATTATCTGTTTCCTGCTTGGTATTTCCTTGCTTTGTCTTTCCCCCTCCTCTTTCTTTATCACTTCGGTCTCCCCGTCATTATACTTTGGTTTCGCCTGCTTTGAGAGAAAGGTCGCCTTCGAGCTCTTTCACCCCTCCCTTATTTAAATGTCTTACGATCGAGTGCTTCCTAACCCCGTTGCTCATCGCTATGAGACTGCTCAAGTCACTAGCAACATCCTCGATCACAAGATCATGAATGACCTAAAATCTGTCCCCATGCATGACGCCTACGATCCTCGCGCCGGCGTCCACAGGATGACCGTGCCCGAGAGAGCTTCCAAGCCCGTGGGGCCCATGCTTTCCACCAAGGAACTTCCACTGCGAGATCGATCCGATCGGTCCTCTTCCTCCTCTGCCAGCATTAATGGCCCCGTCAAGTCGAAGGACTGTGCTATGCAATTCTGTCTCTGCCAACCGGATCCCAAAATCCCCAGGCCTCGTAATGGTGAGTCGATACCATCCGCACAGTCATCAGAGCTTGGCAAGTGCTTTTTTTCTCTTGGTTGTGCTTTTGCTCTGGGTCGTCAGGACCAAATCTGATCTATCCAATGCATTACAGAACGTGTGCTAAGTGGTGCTTCTAGCTTTCATTCTGTATCGGCAACATTATCAAGCCATGGTTGTGGCTCATAATCCGGGTCTGGCTAATCCTGAGATCTCCAAAATCATTGGAGAACAGTGGAGATCACTTCCAGAGGACGACAAGGGAAAATGGAAGGCACTTGCAGAAGTAGGTTTCTAGCTGATCTTGCATTTGCATCCTGGCTCTGCTAACAATAATCAGGAGGAAAAAGCCCGTCATCAGCAGCAATATCCCGACTATAGATATCAACCTCGGCGGTATGGTCGAGATGGCAGTGCACGGAGTGCAGTCGGGGGCATCGGCCATAACCCATCTGGCTCATCAACTTGTAACCGATGTGGTGGCCGGTTGATGAATGCACCAGCTTCACCTATGACCCCCTTCACCCCAAGCAGTGGCTCTGCATCTCGTTCATCGGCTCCATTCCAATTAGCCTCGCCCCATCCAAACAACATGCCAAGAAGTATACACGGCCGCGAGAATGATATCTCCAGGTCTGCCAAGATGGACCAACTCGACCCTCGGTCTCGTCAACGACACTGGGAGGAACCTGGAGGTCGATCCCCTCCGGACAACAAGCGACGCAGAGTCTCACAGGGTTCCTTCAAGCCAACTTTGCATCCATCCTACCGAGAACGCAGTCCCAACAGCGCGATCCCAAACACACCACACCCTATATCTCCTTGGAGTGTTCGACCCGACATGCCAACTCGCCATCTCCCAATGGTCCAACCCCAACGACCTTTCCCCCATCCAAGTCCAGACCCAAGCCTGAAGCTTCCACCACTCCAAACAACCCAAATGACACCCGCAACCCCACAAGAAACCCTCAATACCAGCATCGAAGCCACAGTCATGACCATCCCATTCCTGAACAAGATAAAAGTCCTCGCCAGAATCTCACCTCCTCTCCTCCCCTCCTTCCGCGAAGGCCCACCATCCCGCGGTCCCGTAATCGCAATCGACGGCCAAGACCCAGCCCTCGTCCAAACAACAATCACCTACCTGGACAACCTCCTCAAAAAGGAATCAAAATACCACGTCCGCACCTTCGAAGGGCCCGAAATCAAACCCCGCAAAGAAGGCCAAATGACAGACGGAACAGTCGACTACCTCAACATCATCTCAGCCTGGCACCGCATCTCAGACGACATCGTCAGTTTCGTCAAATCCGTTTCCCGCGCTGGCTCAATCGACCATTCAGACGAGGACCCTGCAAACATCTCACCGCGCACTTCCCTAGTTCCCAAAGCAGCCTCCCTGTCCATCCACTCCCCAGCCCAGTCCTCTGAGTGCTCGGAGATCAGCGCTGCCTCTGTCTCCTCACACTATGCTGTGCCTGTCGCGCTGGTTCCGCGCTACCAGCTTTCCACTGCCGATGCTTTTGCTTGCGCGACTCCCATTGGGGATTCGTACGCACCACTCGATCACTGGCAGTGGATGGCTTCGCTGTGGCGGGCTTGTGTCGGTCCAGATATCACTGTCTATGTGAGAGAGAGTGGGAAGGAAGAGATTGAGAGGATGGGGGCTGTCGAGGTCCGGCTACAGGATGCTAGGACTGTTGTGCTGAGGAAGGTTGCTGGGAAGGATTTGGAGGAGAAGGCGCTTAAGAGGATGGGTTTTGAGATTGAGGATTTCTTGACGCAGTAGAGATACAGAAATAGAATGTAATAATGCATGGGTGGTGTTGAGATATCTCAAGGTTGCTTTTCTTTTGGTCTCTCTAGAGCTTCCAAGGGCTTACGTGTCTGCAAGATTGGTAAATTTGGGTCATATCGTATGGGTGTCGTGAGTTTTGAGTACAGCATTGTTGTGCATTCTAAAGTTGTGGTCTGTGTATTTCGCGGTGTTGCGGCTCGTGGAGATATATTTAATACGCAGTCCTCCTCGTAGACTCCGATATCATACGACCTGTTCAAATTCAATATAATCTGGCCAACGTCCAAGGTTGTTGATGCATTCGGGATCCCATAAAACAAAATCAGCTCTGCACACAAGAAAGCCCGATGGAAAAGTATCATCGACCTGTCAATTATCCTGGATATTGTGGCGACCTCGGGAGAAGACTTCATTCGCTTTGAAGATCGTGATAAAGTGGGTCAGATTGACTCCACAAGCCAAAAGGGCTGGTGAATTGGAAGTTGAACGATGTTTCATATTCTGTAGAGATTCAATAAGCTCTGGAACCCTAAGAAAGAGGGAAACAATAAACAAGAACGAGAAAGCCTTGGAAAGACAGAAAGAAAGAGAAAAAACAGACGATTGTTTCCGGGGCAAAATTCACCGCAGAGCCTCACTTGAGGCGGTCACCATTTCTGCCAATATCCCAAGTCCCCCGTACTTCTGCAACTTGCCCTGAACCTTGGAAGCCATGCAGTCATGTTCAAATGTCAACTTGTATCCAAACAATGATCCAATTCTCTTGGATCATCCACCTTCGGGGCTTCCAATGGATGGCACACCCATCTCCACCGTGTACAAGGTGGAAGCTGAGCCGCCATTCATACCTGTCACAACCCAATCAGGTAGATACAGGGGTCCTTACGTTCCAGTCGGGTCATTAAGTAAGTCAGAAACGTCTCCAAGCTACTATCCTGCGACGGAAGTTGCTGTACTGGAGAAGAATGGCTGGATCCGCACGAACCCCCTCGACTACAGTGATAACGTCCAAGTTTTCATTCTGCCAAATGATGTGCAAGGTGCATCAGCCCAGAAAGCAAAACCAATACCGAAAGCTAAGATCAGAGCTCTCATGGCTAAAATCGATCATTCATCTGATGCGTGGGCTGGATTGTCTGATGCTCACCCCACCCAATCTGGCTACCTGGGATCGAACCCAGGAGATGAAGATGAATCTCTATGGTACATTTTCAACACGTTGCAAAGCCCTGATCCTTCTCCGCAACACATGAAGAATGTTCCTTCTAGACAGGCGATGGAATCCTTGCTTGACGAATCAGATTACCCGGTCCTGGGCCTCAAAACAGCGCTTTATCCCTATCAGAGGAGATCGGCTGCCACGATGATTCAAAGGGAAGCACAGCCGGCGATGGTGCTTGATCCTAGATTACAGGCCGTGGAAGGTCCAACTGGAACGAGCTTCTATTACGACAAGGTTGAAGGCACGCTTCTGAAAGGAAAGCGGCTGTATTCTGAAGCTTGTGGAGGTTAGTTGACATTTCAAGATAATTTCCATGTGGCCACTTTGTTGACTTTTCCACCAGGCATTCTAGCGGAGAGCATGGGATGCGGCAAGACTTTGATTTGTCTCGCTGTGATTCTCGCTACTCGCGGCCATTTCCCTGCTATTCCTATTGAGTACCAGACGTATGAAAACCCCATCAGAAGGCGAACCGGGTCCTTGATGCAGATGGCTGCTGCCACCGCAGGTCGGTTTTCTGTACCCTGGAAGATGTTTTTCGACAGTCTCAGTAGGGAAGGGGAGTTTCACGACAATTGTGTCAATGCATGCAGGGAAAATTCCGGCTGCTATAACATCCCGCCCGATGTCACCAAAAATCCTCGCAGAAACAGCACTTCGCCATATCTCCGAGATCCTGCCCAGGAAGTCCGGCTTTGCTCCGGCACGATCGTCATTGTTCCACCGAATATGGTTGATCATTGGCAGAATGAGATCGCGACTCACACCACTGGCCTCAGAGTTGTGACTTTGCGAGAAAGCTCGGAACGAACGCCAACAGCCGATGAATTGATGGAATTCGATCTCGTGCTGTTTTCCCGAAACAGGTTTGAAAAAGAAGTACCAGAAAAGAAACACATCCAACCCAAGGGAGGCAAAGCTGTCAAAATTGTCCAAGAGGAATCGCCACTTCTCAGTCTCCACTGGCTGAGAGTCATTGTCGACGAAGGACATAATGTTTCAAGCCAGAAAACAAGACTGACAGATATGCTGAAACGCTTACACTTCGAGCGTCGCTGGGTCATCTCAGGAACTCCTTCGCCTGGGTTGTACGGAGTCGAGGTTAGTCTCGCGTCTCGGGAAGCAGACACCAGTGAGACCGAATCCCCTGAGGAAGCTACTCAAGCTATTTTGAAAAAGCGAAAACGGACGGGAAATGCCGTCGACAATGAGCTAAAAGCCCTAGACCACTTGCGGGAAATGGTCATTCACTTCCTTGATTTGAAACCTTGGTCGAGTTCGAGCCCAGGCGACTCTGCCAACTGGACAAATTACATGAAGCCGATAGGTGCTGACGGAAAGCGTCGAAAAGCTCCTTCGCTAAGGCCAACTCTCCAAAGCCTTGTCGTCAGACACCGCAAAGATGTGGTTGATCGGGAGAAGCCTCTTCCCAAACTGTACAATAAGGTGACGTATCTGACTCCGACATTTTACGACAAGTTATCGATCAACATGTTTCTATTTACGCTTGCTGTTAATGCCATTACATCCGAGCGCGTGGGTCCAGACTACATGTTTAACTCCAAGAACAGAAAGCACTTAAATCAAGTCATCGAAAACATACGCCAGGCCGGATTTTGGTGGGCCGGCTCCACTCAAGCGTCTGATTCCATTGATCTTGCTCGCAGATATATGGAATCCAACTATGACAAAATGCATCCCTCAGACATCAAGCTTTTGGCCGATGGAATCCACATTGCAACCACAGCAATCAACTCGCCCAATTGGCAGGGATTTAACAGTCTGCACGAGCTTGGCGTCTTTGTTCAAAATTTCCCAGAGGATTACCGTAGCTCATGGGCAGTTGCAAGCGGCGCATGTGACAATCCGTTGTTGATGGGAATTTCCCAAGCCTGCAAAGCCCAAGAGTTTGTGACGGAGCATCTCCGCTCCCCCGATCCCGCAGAGGGCCTTTCCGGCGCGGGCATCAAAGCTCGTGGAGAGTTAACTCATCACGACGATGCTCCAGCCAGGGGTGCTCCCGACCCAGCAAACACACCAATGGTCCAGAGACAGTTAGCACACACTGCCAAGCCCCCTAGTAACAAAGCTCCCAAAAAGACGTTTGAAAAGAATCTCTTCCGCTCGCTCCCGGAAACTTCATCACTCCAGCAAACTCAGCTGGTTGGTACCGCATCAGCCAAGCTACGATACTTACTTGACAAAGTCCTTGAATACCACCAGTCCGAAAAGATCATCATCTTCTACGAAGACAGCAACACCGCATACTGGACCGCACAAGGATTGGAGCTCATCAACGTGGAATTCCGCATCTACGCCAATACGCTGAAACCGCAGCTTCGAACGGAGTATCTCAAAATCTTCCGCGAGTCAGAGGAAGTGCGTGTCTTGTTGATGGATCTCGGCCAGGCTTCGCATGGATTACATATCGCTCAGGCATCGCGCGTTTTCATAATCAGTCCGATTTGGAAACCGAATGTTGAGAGCCAGGCCATCAAGCGAGCTCATCGTATTGGCCAGACAAGACCCGTTTATGTCGAAACACTCGTTCTAGAGAATACTCTCGAGCATCGCATGCTCAGTCGTCGAAAGGAGATGTCTGAGGCGGAATTGCAACTTGCAGAAAAGGGTCCGCTGGATGATAGTACCATGAGTGATATCATACAGAACGAATCTTTCCTCTCCATGGATGATGAGGCTGGTTCTGGTATGGCGCGGCTAGAGTTCCCGACTGGGTTCTTTGATCGACATAAACTACCTATTCCAGATGATGAAGAGGTAGCGCGTCGCATTCCTGCAAAGCGTACGCCACAGGACTCCTCGGATAGTGCAAATCTAGAGTCCGCTTCAGGTTCTGGAGCGTCGGTAGCCAAGCGTGCTCGAGTTGGGTTCGCTGCAGACCCGCAGCTGATTGATGTTCATGATGGGCCACCGGGTGCAGTTGAGCCTGTGCATGTGGCCTCCAGCCCTCAGGCTCCTGTTCCTGTTCGGCCTCGGGTTGATTTTGCTGAGGATGCCCAGGCCCGGGAGGACCACTCCGCATCGCCGATCTTGGTTGGGGTGGAGAGAAATAGAGAGAAGCGGGTCTCTATCTTTGGGCCTTAATGTCTCACCATGCTGCGTTTTAGCGAATAGATCGAATAGATTCCATGATACCAATACTTTTGCCTATCAGGACCAAAATTCACGTTCCTTCGTTCCTTCGTTCCTTCCTCGCGAAGTGCTACTTCCTTTTTCGTCCCATCTTAGCTCCCATCTTCTGCCCGGGTGACTTCCAAGGTTTTCATCTTCACTTCCTTTTCATCTTCGCTTCCTTTGCTTTAACATTCTCACATCATCAAGCCATGGATCTCCCACGCCCTCCAAATGTCTTCAGCAATTTGGACCTCTTTTGCGACTGGAACGGGAACCCAGAAGAGCCTGTTAGTATCACCATAAACATCGATGTAAGTGAGAGGCTTCAGATCATCTTCAATGGAATGGTACACAGAGCTGATCACAAAGTCAGGCATGGGGTCTTCCAAATCTGAAGCTGCCCGTTCTGAACGTGCACTATCCCAACGTCGTCAAGGGCCCATCACAATTCGTCTACCGGAAGACTAGCCAAACACACCAACCCTCAAAGACTCACTTCAATGGTGACATTTTCCTGCATCCCACTAAACGTCATCCAAATGGCCTTGTTCCCGATGGCTTGAAGCCCGGAAGTGGTGTTGTCGTTCATGATCGTGGTTCAAACCATGCCTTTGCCGAAAGCCCTACGCCTCACAGGAATGCCGAGCCCGCACATACGCATACCTTCGTTCCCTCTATCTGTATCTCGCAGATGTATTCCGAAGTCGACTCATCAGACAGCCTGACGTCACCAAAATCTCGCAAGAGATCTGCAAAGTGTGCTTCATTGCCTGACTCAATTCCCCCCGACGAGGACTTTGGTGTGAGCCGACACAAGGCGTTGGATACAAAGGAGGATTCGGGGGTGTATCAAACCGAGTGCTCGCCAGATTCTGTACTTACACCCACCCCCAGCTCTATTCATCTCCCCGCTTCGCCGCTTGCCGATACGGAAACGAATGGGGTGTCTTGCGAGAAGCTTCAGTCCTCTGAACCATCGCCTAAGCTGTCAGCTGCGAAGCCCAGCGTGAGATTCGAAGAACTCGGTCCTGATGGATGTTCTACCGCCACTGATACTAGGGGTGATACACCTGAAAGTCTTCCTGACTACGAAACTCCCGTTCTCAGCCCTGAGACTTCTCCTAGTAAGACCGGAATTTGCGAAAATGCCAACATCCCCGGGGGAGAAAATTTTGGTCCGCTTGATCTCACGGAAGAGAACCTCGCTTTGCAAGACGATAGGTCTGAATCTTTGCGAGTATGCGACGGGAGTCTGGTTGACACCGAAGGCACTGAGGAACACGAAGGCTCAGTACAGTCTTTCGAGCCTAACAGCAGTACTCGGGATTTCACTGCAATCACTGCGTCTCCAGTCATCCCACATTTCCCCGAACAAAGTGACATCCCGCAAGAGCCCGAGCTTGTCCTTGAGGACGGCATTGTCTACTTCAAGACACCGCCCGGCATCGAACCTAAGATGTACCAAATCGGTATCACAATGGAAGTTATCTTGAGAAAGGGCAAGTCGACAGACTGGTGGGAGTTAGATGTGAGGGGCTTGCCCACGCTCGGTTCATCTGAGTCGGGTTATCTTTACTTTCGCACCAATCCTGGCCAGGGGATGGAGTTTGGCACTTTGCCATTCAAGCGGAACGCCGTGGTTGAGGATTGCTTAATGGCTCAATTTATACCAGGCAAGAATCTCATCGTTCCACTTCGCAACTGCAGCGCTGAGCACTACGGTTTTATCAACGACTACAAGATCAACTCGGTACTTCATTCTGAAATCTTTCAGAATTCATCAGGTTACGCAATTGAGTACACTGCCGTTTGTTCGGTCGATCTCATCAACCACAGATTTTGGAGTGAGCAGTGCAGTTTCCGCATGTACGTGCACGGCGGCCCTGATGGCAAATGGAGTGGCCAGTTCACCGAGAAGCAATCTTTCGACATTGCAGGCAAGCCTATCCTCTACAACCTGTTGTTAGACCCGCCGGCGGATGCAGAAATCGGTGTCTCCCGCATCGAATTGACTTGTCCGCCTGCTGCACTGGAAATGTTTGCTGTGCAATGGGAAATGAGAGTCCCTCGAGGGAAGGCCCTGATCACACCCCGAATCAAGAGCACAATTGAGAATGAAGCTGAACGCAAGCTTCGTGACAATTTTGACTTTGTTGACCGCGAGCGGTACATTCTTGCGAATCCCTGGGCGTCTTCCTCTTCTTGGTCTCCTCGGAGCGTTAGTCGTGTGAAAAAAGCACCATCTTTGGCTAGAACAAAGAGATTCGCCCGACAGAGTGATTTACAGAGCTTGCCCGCGATAGCTCTTGCTGGGCCTACCATTCATTCGGTGAGCACAGAGCCTATTCCCGCTACCACCAAGCCAGAGGAGCCAAAGCAACCAAGGACGCCAGAGGAACCAAACAAGCCAGAGGAACCAAAGAAGCAAGATAGTACTCTCTCTGTTCCATCGCAGGCGATGTGGAGACTGGTCAAATTCGTGTTCTTTGTGTGCTGGTTCTTGGCCACCCTACCCTCAGCTTATTGGTCCTATATCATTCTCAGTCATGGTTACACTCAGTCTGACTCGGCTTTCGCGTTCAGCAAAGAGTTTACTCCTACAATTCTCGACCAAGCTGAAGCAAATGTCACCAGTCATTCCATCGAAAGCCCCATTTATAACAGTTTTATGCAGGAGGAAGAGGTTCGGTCAACCATCGTGCCGGAGCCTGAGAACACCGAAAAGCCACACGCTGGCGCCAAAAACAATGATACTATGCCGCTGAGGGACCGCATTGACTACTTTCTCGGATGGAAAGGCCCTGTCGTTGAAGAGTGAGGCCAAACAGGCATGCGGTAGCAAGCATCTTTATTGGAGACCACTGAGGAAAGGAGGCAGTAATGGAGGGGAATGACAATCTCCAGAGAGGCCAGCAAGGTAGCCAGGTATTGTACCATATTGATATGAGATAGCAACTATCAAACAGAAAATTATGGAATCGTTGGTAACCAAACCCTATCCAAGGTCCAGATTGTGCTATTGAACGCGTGTCTATCTCGTGCAGCTGCAAAAGTCCCTCTTCTCCCAATATAAAGCTGATCAACACACGATAATCAAGCGATTTATTGCCGACTATCGATGTAGAACTGCAAAACCAAGTCAACAGCCCATCTAAGAACAACTTCCATTCCAGCACTCCCAGCCCCAGGAGCAACCTCAACCCCAACGTCCGTCCGAACCCTCGTTCCATCACCAGCCCTCCTCACAAGATCAGCATCACCATCACCACCAGTCGCCACATTTTGACCATCCTCACCAACCAACAACCAAGAATGATCCCGCACATACCGCGGCCAAACAACATCATCTACATACCCAGGTGGATCAACCCAAAAGTTCTGCGGCGGACGATCATCCTCAGCTTCCAAATCAATCTCCTCATTCTCTTCCAGCTCGGCCCTTTCCCCTTCGTGCACCGGCGCAGACCCCACAGTCACATACCCACTCCTCCCTTCCCGCCTCTCCTTAACAAGTCCATAAGCAGCAGGTAAGAAAACATGAAGCTGGATAGCATCATGAACAGACCGAAGTACATGGTCCTTCTGCGGTGGCGCAAAGAGCAAAAATCCTTCCAGGAACGCAATACTACCGCTTCCCGATAAGCGATCTTGTACCACGCGCCTCAATTCCTGAACCGCTTCTTCTGGAACACCGGAATCAGACTCGTCATTTTGATCTTCTTTGCTGCGCAGACGCGGTGGGAGACATCCGTTTTTGCGAACGTATTGCAAAGCCTGGCTGAGGAAAGGTAAGTCGATTGCGGCTGCTGTGTCCCAGTCTTGAATTGTTTCACCGGAGGCTGTGGTTGTGTAGGGGATTCTGAATTCGTTAGTGGGGAATCCGGGGAATTGGATATTTGGTTCGGTAAGGAGATGTACTTGTCGTCTGGGAAGTAGAAGTCGTCTTCGTGGATGATGAAGGTGTTCAGGTTGCCGGATGGGCTCTTTGCGCCGTTGAAGATACGCTGCAGCAGGCGGGCGAGGGTTGTTTTGCCGCTGCTTGAGGGGCCTGATATGCCCACTATAACTGCCTTGTCTGCCATGGTGTCTTTGTTGTGATGCTTTGGAAGTGGAAGATTCGATGAGGGGTTGGAGCTTATCGATTATCGCTTATCGATTATCGTCGCTGTTATCAAGATTTTATATCGTCTTCGGAGCCGCGATGTACGCGATGTACATTGTCCAACGTGGATTTTGGTCCTGATAGGCAAAAGCATTGGTATCATGGAATCCATTCGATCAATTCGATATATTCGCTAAAACGCAGCATGGTGAGACATTAAGGCCCAAAGATGGAGACCCGCTTCTATCTCGTGTAGCTGCAAAGCCCCTCTTCTCCCAATACAAAGCTGATCAACACGAAGGAACGAAGGAACGTTGAGAATATCGAGTACTGCATTTCCTCCTCATACTTCGTCAATTAAAAGAAAGAGCTGCAAAGCAACTTAGAAAGGGCCAGTATGTACAAGAAGGGCTAAAGAATAGTCTTCACTTTTCTCCCCAAAGAACCCTTTTATGTCCGCCAGCGCCTGTAACAAGAAAAAAAGAAAGAAAAAACAATAACAATAAAACCTGACTTTAGCCACCCATAAGCATGAAGCATAAGAGAATCAATCACTCCACCCAGTCTATCCAGACAAAAACGATAAAACGAGAATAAGCAAATTATTGGGGAGTTCCATTAGCGAAACCAGGATGATCATAGGCTGTTGGACCGGCCACGGAGCCAAAGCGATCTTCTTCTTTGACCATTTGAGACGGGAGAATGGGGGTGTTCGTCTGGGTTTGGTCGAAATATCCACGTCCATTTTGGTAGTCACGATTTCGCTGCAACGGGGGCAGAACCGTAGAACTAGCGGGCTGCCCGGACCGGTATCCTTGGGCCATCATCGCTCCAGTCGAATCCGGGGTCTGTTTCGGGTCCAAAGTCCTTAGCTTCTACCTCTCACTGGTTCGCGGAGGGGTGTCGTACAGGTGTCCCAGGCTGGTTCATCGCCATCAATTGTCCCACAGCGGCTTGTTGGCTAGATCGGCTTTGCCCGGAAGGATCAGGCATCTGGGATAAACCGGTGGCTTGTGGGATGCCAGGTTGAGGAATTCCCGAGTACATCTGATCCACGTCAGTGGTGGAATCCGAGGAGCTGGTGGGTGGTAAACAGACCGAGTAGTCAGGCATCACCTGCCCTCCGGCATAGGAGTGCATGGGTGGTTGGTAGGCTCCTGCCTGTCCGGGATATAAAGCAGTTGTGGGCTGGCTATACGGCATTCGACTCTCCGCGTCATATATACCTTGCTGCCTACCATAGTCGATCGAGGTACGGTGACGCTTGACTGGTGGCGGACCGTAGTACGAATAATCCCGGGTTGTTGGTGGGTAACCTCCATACCCAGTTGCTGGCGGGATCTGTACTGTCTGACGTTCCGGTGACCGGGCAGCAACTGCCGGAGGGAATTCATCTGGTCGTGGAGCTGGGCGTTTCCTAGGCGACTGTCAGCAGCAGAACCCCGCGTCGCTCTCGAGATTTGACACCTACATCATGGTCCGAGGCTCCTTGCGAATGCGCAATTTGACACCTTGGTCTGCAAATGAGCGTGACAGGAAAGTGGACTCCATCATTCCCGGGAAACTCTTGGGAGGGGACACTGCTAGCTTGTCAGAACCCACGCTGCCATCTCTCGGGTACAACCCTTACCTGTGAATCGGTCTGAGATTATAGTTTTCAAGTAGGAGACATTATCTCTGCACCCGTTAGCTTCTGATTGCCATCCGAGCCTGTCTAGACGGTGCGTCACTCACTTGCGCATCTCGAAGAGGGTGAACTTGAGGCGATACTCGCCCTCCAGTTTCACTGAGAGATCGCCAAAGACAAAGAACCCTCCATCTAGAATCGCGGCGTTAGTAGACCAAACTGCAGTGCTTCCGGAGTCCAGACTCACCGCTGTTGTCCACGTCCTTCAACCGGTGAAGCGACGAAACCAGGGTTCCTGCTAATGCGGTCGACGGTGCAACGGGTACAGGACGCTCCTCTGTGGGATCGTAGAGACTGCAGCACAGGAAATAGTACGGACTTTGCAAGTAGTGTCTGCGCGAGTTAGCTGCAGCTTCAGCTAGAGCGGGACGCAGACTTACTGTGCGAGGTAAGTCCCCTCCTCTCGCACTCGGAGCTGAACGATCGGGGGCGGATCGATCGGCTTTCGCTCTGTGGCTCGTTAGAGTCGACTCATGTCCGATCTCCAGAGTCACATACCTTTTTCTTTGCCCCCCGCCACGCGGGCCCGATTGGGCTGCTGACGAATAGTCAGGTCAAAGTCAGAACTGGTGTTGTTCAACATTGTCAGTGGGCCCTGGTTTACGGCGTAAGAGTTACGGCGCAGGAAGCAGAGGGGAGGTAAGAACTCACCTCTGAGCTTCGCGCGAGAGAGAGGCGTCTGAGAATGTCGATGCACTCATCAAGCCTAAGAGTCACGAGAGAAGCGGAAAAGGTGGAGAGAACCCAGTTTCCAGGTGCGTACCAGCGGGTAGAATCCTCGGACGAGAGTGAGAGACCAGGGCGCAGTGATCTGTGGTTTTACAGAGTAGAGAGGAGAAAGGAAAGAACGGGTCTGTGGCAGAAAGTGCTCTGGTACCAGAAGATAAGGACAGGATACCTTGGACGAGTCACGATGTCGTCTGGAGGGGAAGCTGTAGTGGGGTATGATTTTTTTTTTTCTCCGGAACTGATTAAACCATGGACAAGGAAAGACAGTAAGTGGTGAGTGAGAGAGTGATGGTCGTGTTGTAGAGGAAGAAGTGACGAAAACGGAGTGGTGTCGTCAGTTTGCAAGCGGCAAGAGCCAACCGAGCGCGGTTCCAGACAAAACTTTAAGCTGTTTCTGATCTCCGAGGCTTTTTTTTTTTTCCTTTTCTTTTTTTTTTCTTTGGTTTCTTTTCTTCTTTTGGTGGTTGGTCTGTTATCCCCCCGAGAAGAAAAAGATGGCAACTCTCGGCTTGGGGAAATTTCAATCAATTTCCAGCGAAAAATGCTAAAAAATCAATTGGATCACAGTCTTCCAAATCTCTCTGTCAACAACAAATCAGATTGCAGAGTTGACCGCACAAAAAAAAATCTCCAACCACTAACCTAATGAATCCGAAATGATTTAATAATAATAATTAAAAAATAATTTCAGATTCTGGTTTGTTTTTGGGTTCAAAGAAAAAAAGAAAGAGAAAAAAAGAAAAGAGCCCTTTGGGATATATACCACGGTGGTAATAGCTCTCTGGATCCGTGGGCAATGGTGGATCATAAGGACAAGTGTGACTTTTGACCGTTGAGAAACCAAAAGAAGAAATGGGAAAATGGGAAAATGGAAAAAAAATGGCGGAAATGGAAAAAAAAAAAGTGGACAGGGTTCAGCTGTCCACGGTCGAGGGGGCAAATTGGCGATCCGGGTACGCCTTTCCAACCTGAGCTCCCGTTTCTTTGTCCCTTCAAGGTTGGATGGCGCCGGCTATGCAGGTGATCAGACCCGGTTTTTTTCTTGTCTGCCGCAAAGGTGCTGGTCTAAACGCCAGGTGGACTCGGGCCCTGGTCCGGCGTCTAAGCATTCCAGTCAAAAGTGGATTCGGATATGCACGATTCAAAAGCCGCATCGCTTATCCCGAGCTGTCCGGGGTCTCCACAATATTCCTGCTTAGCGATTAGCCATCATTCAGATTAGAGAAATTTGGGTACGTCAGAACTCGGGACTTGGGACTTTGGAATGCCTGGGAGCTGCATGAAGCAATACTCTCGGCATCTCGCCCCAACACGCGGCTATAACTGCCGCGCCTCACTAGAACCATGGTCGGGTGTTTGTCTTATGTCATCCCGAACCACAGACCCTTGGAATGTCCTTGCCCTAGCGCAAAAAGGGGGATGTCTACCTTTCGGGGCAAATGTTTGTTTCCTTTCTCATCCGCAGTTCACAACGCTGTTCGAGGATGACAACCGCCGACGTGACGAGAATAGTATGACACGAGATCGGACTTGAGCCCCTCTGGGACGCGGCACTTGCGAGTCGTTCCTCGCACACGACTGCGCTTCTCAAAAGCCAATGAAATCCGCAACGACGAGATTCACACGATGCGAAGCCCGAAAGCGCAAAACGTGCACCTTAAGCCAAAACGACACACGGTACATATCGGGCCATGGTGTGAAGGGAGTCGAAGACGTTGGGAAAGAGCAGACGTCGAGAGTGGACAAGCAAAGATTTTTGAGGGGAACAACGCACCACTGCAAGGCCATCTTATGAATGACGTATCACATTATCCGAGGGCCATGCAGGTCGACATCCCGATCAAGCTACTGGATGTTGACCGTTAACGCTGGTTGGCTTGTGCGCACGGAGCTCCCTCGATCAAGCTATGGGGCTGGGGCGCGATTCCCACAAGCACTCAATCGGGTAGCGGGCATCCCAGGAAAAAGAAACAATCAATAGAAAAGGTCTTGGGGTGGGGCCTTTGCTGCATGGTGCAGATCGTTCGTCACAATTCAAGATCGGGAGTTCTAGGACTACGTTGCGCACTCGACCCTTCTGCGGCTGACGACGTACAGTACTTTTGGCTTGGTTGATTGGGCGGGCTGGATTGTGCATATGTGGACCCCGCGGTTGGGTCAAACTTGTGTCCTACACACTGGCGTTGTTCATCCCGCACACTCTCTTGGCATTTGCGAGTACTCTAGCCCCCATGCATAGAGCCTTGAGTGTGGCGGGATCGTCGTCGCCAGTGTGACAGAGGGCTGCAGGTACGATTCATGACAGGCGCTGTCACAGTGCCTTCGGATCGGTTCCATCTCCACATCGATCATCATGATAACAGGGACGATCATATGCAAGGGTGAATCAATTTTGAGATCACAAAAGCGCTGATTAGCCGAACAAAAGTCCTACCCCCAACGAGGCAACTGCAAGAGGCTAGAGGTGGTGGGCCTAGAGAGCATTCTCACTGAAATATGCTGGTCGACAAGGTAAGTTCTCTGGGAGAAGATAAAAAAAGAAATCACAAAAAAAAACAACCGAGGCCCAATCTGGACAGTGGGAAGGGGGGAACCGGAGAATCACCGCAAACCCACGGGTTCGGGCATTTGTTTGCCGGTCCGGGTCCCAACAATGGCACTGGTCCAGTGCATGCATGGTCCGGACGATAGTTCCTGGGAATGCAGATGATAGGCCCGAAAAAGATCTTGGTTCCCCAAATGCACATCATTATGCGACAAGCCCAAGCGCTGACCACGACCTGTCACTTCTTTTTGACTTCCGGAAACCGGCTCCGGCGCCAGGGCAGAAATTGTCAAATATCGGCCTGCGAAGGCTCAAGGCGGAGAAGCCCATGTTCCTTGACAAACCATGGTCATGGCCGGGTCATGATTCAACCAGAACAAGATCCTGTCCTGAATTATTCGAGTGGGGAGTATGATTCCCTTGGTGAAGATGGGAACCGAGGGAAAGAGGATGAAAAGTTAAGAGTGGAAGTCGAAAAAAAGAGGGAAAATTAAAGTGGCCGCCCATAAAGAAGCGAAATTTCAGAAAAATTACCCCAAAGTACAGCGCACTGCGAACCCACAACCCTAATTCGAAAACCTGGTTAGTGTCGGGGGGGTTCGTTCTTCTTACTGGTTACAGTATGGTACAACACGAAAAGAAAGCTAAAAAAGGGGAGCAGGGTACTTAAGTACTTGGTGGGAAAAGGGAAAGTGAATGCAGAAAACACGGGAAATTTGATAAGAATCCATCTAGGCACTAGATCAAGCAATTCCAAGGTTGAAAGTCGGATCAAACGTTGATCTGACAGCGGCACACCTGGTAAACCCACGGACGAAAGCTCTTAGGTGGGCGCTACTATGTTTATGCTTAAATGCCTGGTTCCGTGGTGGTTTGGGGTCCGTTCCATGGTTCCGTGGTCTCATTGACAGCTGTCCGGTCCGCTGATCGGCTTTGTCGATCGGGGGTTTTTCATGGGTTGCCCTTTTTTTATCCTGCATGGTGAGACTTATGATTTCATATTTTGGTCCGATCTATCTGATCTATCCGATTGATTTGAATCATGAGCCTGGTTCGAAGTCGCAGTACGAGGACAGATATTTATCCGCATACCGCCGTGTTCCGTAATTCACCTTCCTAAAGGGGGTAGGCTGAAAATTAGAAAATACTCCGAATACTATGCCCCCTGGCGTCTTCATAGAGCACGGAGATATACTTAAGTATCATGCTTAGAAATCCCTTGAGTGAGAGAAAGTTTTACAGGTTTAGAATAGCCCTTGATAGAACACATCAGATGTGCGCAGATCAACCACGTTGTCGGGATGAGCGTTTTGACCCTTATGCCTACAAGTAGGTAGGTACGGGTGCTGGGTCCATGCGAAACTTTGGTCGCATTGACCAATACTCTGTCCCCAGGCGCCTACTCCGTGCGAACGGGCTCCGGGGCTTTTCACCTTTCCAAGGTTCTAAAGTTGGAATATGATATCTCGTGAAAAGGCTGCGAACACATATATATATTTGAGTATCAGCGTACTCCCGAGGTCGTGGTACTCGTGACTGCAGATCCTCGCCTGTGCGGTTAAATGGCTGAATGTGACGTTTAGTTATCTTAATACACATGCCAGGCGCTATGACCTTGAGAGTCTACGGCAGCCCTGGAGCCTGTCTCTACTGCGTCCCAGCTACTTAAGTACGGACCTCGGGAGTACTCCATACGCAAATTTAGATTGAATAGGACACACAGAGCAATTCATGCATTAGAATAAAATTTGGCAATGACACTGTACTCATTCGTCGCGACTAGATAGAAAACCCTGCAATGAGGGGGACAAAGAAAACGCCTTACACCACCATTCCTGCTCCTTGCTGGATGACATCTTGAAAATTGCTGGTCAGTAGGTAAACAAGGAAAGGATCAACGAGCACTGCAACACGAGAGCGCCCGCCAACCGTATCCGAAAACCCTAGCATGGTCTCCGGACAGAAGGATAAACCAGAAGAGTATTAAATCAAACAATGGGAGAATGCAGTCTCCCAAGAGTGAGAAAGAAAAGAGAAAACAATCGAAGGATTTTCGTTAACGCCCTGTCCACATGCGTAAATGACTTTGCAGGCAAAAAAGAAGAAAATGAAACCATTCGCGCCTCGTGAAGCCCCAAGGGGTTGTCATGTTTGCATTGCGACATCCCCGTCAACTTCATATTCGGCGTCATATTCGGCGTCGGCGTCGGCATCTGCATCTTCGTCCATATCAATGCCATTTGTAGCAGGGATAGTCTTGCCTGCATCACCTGGCGACTTGGAGGCAGAACTCGTCTCGGCAGGGATGACAACATGAACTTTTTCGACCAAGGCCTTGCGAGTGACCGACCGGGGCGTCCTCACATTGTCGTTGGTTCGACGGGAGAGTGCCGTATCTGGGGACCGTGAAGGCTTCTTAGTTTTTTTCTCAGGGGTTTTGGGCGCCTTCGGTTCAGAAGGCTCCAGTTCAGCATTGGCGGCATCAGCACCATTAGTCTCGACAGGTCCTTCCGGGACGATATCGCTGCTTGTAGTGATTGGGTCTTTGCCGTTCATCTGTGTTGTTTCATCAAGAGCAGGACTGTTGTCCTCGGCAATTTCGTCAACCACACCTTCTTCTTCGACAACCTCGTCTTGTTTTGATTCGACTCCATTGGGTTGGGTTGGTATTGCTTCGGCTGCAGGTGATTCAGTGAGAATGGAGCTGCGCCCCCGCCGAACGCTCCCACCAGGGGTGAGTGCTGCCAAGGCGGAAGGTCTTCGTGGGGTGCCGCGACCACTTTGGCGGGGAACCGTGGGGGTCATTGACGTGTTGTTGAGTTTGAAGCTGCCGGATGGTCGGCCAGGTTTGCGCTTGGGAGGCGCCGCGGCAGGTACAGGGGGCCAAAGTTCAAAACGAGAGGGGGGTATTCCCGCTGCAGGGTTGGGCAAAGCAGGAGGCTCAGAGTTGCCTGTCGAAGAATGGTGAGAGCCATTAGGCTGGAGGGCTGTGGTGGAAGGCGGACCAGCAGAATCCGCAAAGGCATTTGCGACTGTGCCATTCAATAACCGGGCATTAGTCGCGTCGATCGCTTTTCCTCCCAACTCATCATCGTCTTCATCAGCATCATCACGAGGAGCGACAGCATGCAGAGGAGCACGGTCGAAATGTGTTTGATTGCTGCGGCCCATAATGTAAGGCGTCCAAAGAAGTGCATCTGGGTTGAGCTGAACGTAGCCCTTGTTTTCCCAGCCACTGATCACCTCGTCGTAGTACTTGTGGTCGAGACGAATTGCGTACGTCTTGGTGATGGGATCCCGAACCAGAGCTCGAAGTCCCTCGAGGGCAGAGACAACATCATCTGCTGTCATTCCAGTGCGATCAGAGAGATCTGCGATGCTGACCACGCCAGTCAGGTCACGAAGTTGGTAGGACAAGATGAGTCGCCAGTAGTTCCGATATGACACCAGACCCATATCAGAAAGCGGCTTCTCAGGAGACCCATTTTTGCCTTCGATGCGAGTGAGAAGATATGAAAAATCGATGAGAAGGTTTCCGTAGCCTTTGCGCTGATGGATGGGAAGAGTGAGAATACATGAGACATTGTTCGCTGAGCTTGGTCGTTTTTCTTTGCTGAAATATCCGACAAAGTGACAGCCTAAGTCATCAAATTCAGTCATGACATAGAAGAGGAAGGGCTCGACATCGTAGTAAAGGGTTTTGGAGCCAAGGAAAAGTTTCGCAAGAAGACAGAGGTTTTGACAATAAACGGGATTTTTTCGCCCATCAACCTCAAAGATGGAAATCGATTTATCGCGGTAAATTTCATCACCGGGAGGATGTTTGGCAGGGCACTTGAGCTTGTGGCGCCAGGCGACATAGTCCGAATTCATGTACTTGAGGCAGAACTCACAGATGTACAGAACTCGGTTGCGACTGTATTCCTCCGGGTAAGGTGCAGCATACCAGGTCTCAATTTCATACCCACCAAAGTTGATTGACTTGATCTTCGAGGGTGGACCCGAGACTTTTTGTGATGCATGTGCAGTGGCTTCGCCGTTGAGCTCCGACTCTCTCACCTTCTGCTGCCATTCTTCCTCAGCCCTGAGGCGAGCCTGCTCAAAGCGATCACGGTCAAATTGGGTGGGAAATGTCTTCGAGGTGTCTTGTTCAACCTCCGATAAGATACCTCCATATGGTTTGGACTTGGCATCATCGGTCTCGCGGTCAAAAAGAGTGATGGAGTTGTAAGATACAGGAGGAAGGGGGACGAAATGTGCCTGGGGCTCTTGCGCCACGGGAGGGGGTTTGGGCGCTTTCTTCTTCTTGCGTTGAGAGCGGATTTGAGCACCCGTGATTTTGGCCATTTTGTTTTCATCGAGTCGGAAACCAAGGATCAATTTCCCATGCTGTTGGAGTACCACACGGCAGTGATTTCGGTCAACGGCCCGAGTTCGTCGGACGCGTATTGAGCGTGTCCGGGCAGGGGAGGCAGCATCGCCAGCAGCAGTTGCCTCCCCGCCCTCAAGGGCCGCGTCGCTCAAGTCCGGAAGTCCGGAGTGAAAAGAGGTCCGTCGGAGTCGCTTGCGGAGAGTGGGCACGTGCTCCTCAGCCTCAATGGAGGAGGCCTTGCGCTTGCGGAGCGATCGTGAGCTGTTGAGCATCTCGTCGTTGACACTTGTGTCGAAAATGGTATGGAATTCTTTATCGTGCGTGCCAGAGTGTGCGGGCAAGAGTTCTTTGGGGAGATTTGGAGCTCCGCTTTTGGCTTCTGTGACGGTCTCTATAGGGTCAGGTTGCAAGTTGTTACTGACACAACTGGGACACCTCCAAGGGCCTGGAGATCGGGGTGTTAGCTGGGGGTTGTCACTGAAAAACAAGTCAAGATTCGGCGGGGTGGTTGTGTACCTTCAGAATCGTTGAAAGCTTCTTGCTCACGTGCGCATTGACGATGAGCTGTTGATATATCGGGTTAGCAAGTCTCAAAACAAATACCGACGCGTAGAGTATTGGTGGTTGCTCTGAGAAAAGGTTCACGTACAATGATCGCCGCAAACTAGGCAGGTGAGCCACTCCTCGAAATCTTCACTCGGGTCATGCTCCTCATCTTGTGTACAAAACCTGTCGGTCTGCTGTCAGTTCTGCCAACTTTCATTCCGCATTGGGTTTCACTCAGAGCTCTCCCACTCACAAACAGTTCGCGCGACTTCGATTGTCAGTCTCAACGTCCTCACGATCGTTACTCTCTGCCTCCCAGTCTTCTGCTTCCGACTCATGATCTGTTGACTCGACATCCGAGGCATTACGGTTACTTTGCTTGAATACCGGGTCCGCATCGCCAGCTTCAGACTCCGCATACTCTTCGTCTGAAACCGCCTCTCCATCAGGAAGCTTCACTGCCCCAACAGGTTCCGTGTCATCGTTATAGCCTTCCTCGACGTCGTCGTCACCATTCAGGACGTGGTTTCGCGTTCTCTTCTCGTTCGCAGCATCGTCCAGGCCATCCCCATCAGCTTCGCCAGTATATGCTCGGTGAACAGCATTCTGCAGCTGTTGATCCATCGCATACAAGTCTGTTTCCTCTTCTCCCTCAGCGTCGAGATCACTGTCGGCTGGATCTATGGGTGGGTCGAATTTGCCCGATTCATCGTTTGCTGGCGGCACCGTCGCCGCCATGGTGAAAGTTGCCGCCACCGCCAGATTGAGCGCAGCAGAGCCCTTGGTATGCGCCTAAGCCAGCCCGGGCGTATATTCTGTGGAGGAAGCTTGATTTGATCCGATTATAGAAGCACCCCGCTGACGTCGGCGCTGATCCGGGGGTGCATCTGGACCTAACGCGGGTTGGAAGTAGATGGAAGCGTGGCCGAATATTATTTCGAGCACAGATATTGTTCGGTAGTGACGCTGCAAGTCGCTTGGCGCGAAGTAGAAGCTAGACAAACAAGTGTCAGTCCGGCGCTGGGTGGCTCGAGCCATCATAAACGCGTGTCGCAAAACATAGGAAACTCACCCCAAGGGAAACCAGCGGAATTCTTGATACAAAAGCGTACTAGGCGCGTCGAAGGACAGTCCACGCACCAGGGTTTGTCTCTTTTACAATCGAATGCGATCCGCAGCGGCCTTAACGCCCCTTGTCCTGTGAGTGTCGTTGCAGCGGTGCTGCGCTGAGTCATCACATGGGCTAAACCACTTCGGGCGAACAAGACCTCAAGCCCGTCGCCGAGCGAAGAGACACTCCCCTCCACCCTCTCCGCCATTTACCCACTCTTCTCGATCCGTGAGAGGCTTCACGGCTCTTGATTCCACCCTTACGACCCTTTCCGATCACATACACACCCGAAACTTCGCACACCATGGGTGTTCCTTTCGAGGCCCTGCTCCCCTATGGGATTATCATCGGGGTACGTGCCATTGGTCAATCCACCTCGGGGCTACAGCTCACCAAGCGTTATAGATGTTTGGCGTGAGTGGCTACGGTCTTCACTACGTCAAGCGCTTTGCCAACGACGGCAAGAAAGCGCGCTGGAACCGTGACCTCTGGGACAGAGTAAGTGAATTCCTTCCTCGTCGGCTACGGTCGGAAACTCGTCTAGACCATGTTTGCTAAGTCTTTCGCAGCAAAGTGAGTGCCTACCGAAATTATCGCCAATCCGAACGCACCCAAGAAGAACAACACTAACCCTAGCAATCTCTAATAGTGATGGAGAGAGATCAGCGCATCACAGGCACATTCCGCGGGCAGTCCAGCAATCACCAAGCGCCCACTGGATTCGAAGTCAGCAACCCATGGAAGGTAAGATGGCACACGATTCCCTTGCGTTACAAAATACTGACCCGTGAATAGATCGAAAGCCGGATCTACTAGATTCAAAAATTGCAACCCCATTTCCTTTACGTTCAACGTTTGTGCCTTTCCTGGTCTGTGATCAAATATCCACTGCATTCACTCTAGAAATGCTGTATCATATCTTGTTTCCCACTGGTTCCCATTGTAGTTCTCCCAGTTGACCTTTAAATGAGCTCCGAGGCCATGCCCTTAATACCCTGGATTTCATCCTCGCGAAGGTGCATATCAAAGTATTTCGCCAATGCCCTGACGCGATCCCCCTCAGAGTGCAAGGTCTCCAGGATCTCAGTCTGCCCGCGTACTCTCCGTTTGACCTCATGTCCCGTCATCACACACTGGCCCTTGACCTCTGTACCATCTAGGTTCAGAAGCATCCGCGTGCAGATAAAGGTTTTGGTGAACCAGCTAGTTCGACTCTGGCTGACTGAGAAGTTCATGACCTCGAAATCTTGCGGTAGGAACTCCACGTCGGAAAAGGAGATCTGCGGCACCCAATCGCTCTCGGGGTTATATCTTGTTTGGAAAACCCAAACCTTCTGGCTTGGGTCCGTGAACTCGACAAGATTCTCCTTGACCAACCGCATTTCAGAGGGTGCAATATACGTAGCAGTAGCATTCTCTCGCAGCGGCAGTGGAGCGGTGGCACAGTTGTTTCCAAAGCCAACGTCAACCTGGGTTGTTAGTACAATCCCATGTAGCAGCTTCACTGGGGGTGCCATCACTCACCATATACTTCTCGCCTTGAATCATTACAATCAGGATCATATGTCCACTTCAACGAGACAGGAGTCAATACTTATTGCGTTTGTTGAGAATTTCAGCGAACTGAGCACTTACATTGCCAGATATAATCCATTATTCACACCCTTTGCTGCCGCATGGCTGACTCTGCCTCCGGTGGCATAAACATGATACCCCAAAGATCTCAAGACAATAAAAAAAATGCCCGTGTTCTCCATGCAATACCCGTCCAGTCGTCGGTTCACCATCTTTTCAAACAGCCAATGTGGGTTTAGAGCGATGGTATGATGCTGCGAGTAGTGCATTCCCGAATTACCCCAAGGAATGGCGGCGAGATGGCGTCTTTGCAGTTCAGCCAATGTACCGAGAGCATCATTCTGGATGCTTTGACGGAGAATTTGGAGACGGTCATCGGAGTTTGAGTATCCAATGCGCTCCAGGTACAACTCCAGTTGTTGATCGGTAAATGTCGGTTTTGAGGCCATCTTTTACTCTCTATAGCCTGGCGATAGGTAGTAATGTTTGGATATAAAATCCCACGGGTCCTGTTCTGCTCAAGTGCGGGTGCTCGGCATTTTGATTCCACCCTGGTCCACTGTTGATGACCAATAGCTCTACCACCTGCCCGGAGGGCGCATGGTGTCGTATACACTCTGCGGGGTTGTGAATGGTCTTTTTCTTCTATGTACTAAGATATTCCTGATTGCAAATAGTATACAATGGAGCAACGCGGGCTATTTCCGGAAACTTGCCAAACATCCTCGGTTATCGCGGGGCCGGAGTAGGCTTCGTAGCCTAGAATCGTAGGTATCAGCCCATCTATATACAAATTCAAGAATCGCTCTGCTTAGATATCCCATGAGAGCCCTGGAGTAGAGTAAAAGTTGATCATGCGATGTTCCAAAAGTTTTCTATCACATTTTCGCTATTATGCAGTGATATCTCTGTAGATGTGTTCCGATATCCGGACCTGCGGGACACATGCTTCGATCAGCACTTTGCGGAGTTCCTCAAGTACATTCTGAAGTTCTTCTTTTCTTCCTCTTGGCCTCCCTCACCATATATTCAAGTACTTATCACCACAATGTCCTTGAATGAACAACTTGCGACCTTAGTAGATAACTTTTCTCCTTGTGATGTCCGTTGCGCTTCGAATATATCTGCCTCAAACTTTATGTTGGACGCTTTCTAATTCTTTGGATATACAGGTATCAGATGCTTTGATTAAGCTACAAAAGACTCCAGAGGGCGAAACCCCGCGAGCAGGCTTTCTGGCGGATCTGGGTAAGCCATTTCCCCCGAGGCTCACTACAACCTAATGACTAGAATGAGAACCAGCCCTATTGCTTTTTTTCTCCATTCAAACTAACAGAACCAACAGTCCCATTTTCACCCATCACCGGGCGGAATGAAATAACACCAAGGATTGCTGCACCAGCAACAACGTTCAAATTTCTAGCCAAGGCTGCCAGCCCGCCATCGATTGCAACAGAAAACCCCCAAAGGCACGGCTTCCCGCCGGGTACACACTGGGTAGACCATGTCGGCGAGTATGCCGCATCTGATCCGTCTGGCACAGGATCTATCGTTGTAATTGAGCAGCCCCAAGGCCAGTACTGCGCTGTGACGGGTGGCATTATGGCGACTCGGATGAAGGCCGTCGGGATCAAGGCGACTGTTGTCGGTGGCCGGGTCAGGGATTTGAGAGAGCTGAAAGCCACTGGACTCCCGGTTTGTTGACATTTCCACTATCCTCAGAATTGTCACTCACGAATGTTTTCATGAGTATAGATCTGGGCTAGAGACAGCTCCACTGTGGGAACGAATGCCGAGGCTAAAGCGGGTGCTCGAGATGTACCCATTTCCATTGGAGGTGTCACGGTCTCTCCTGTAAGTCATGGTATCATCCGATGGGAACTTTGATAACTGACTACGATTCTTCAGGGCGATATTGTCTTCTGTGATCCATTGGAGGGGGTGGTTGCCATTCCCCGTGAGCTCCTAGGTCAAGTGCTGGAGCTCATGCCCAAATTGACGGCCATGGATGACCAGGCAAAGGAGGCTGTTGCAAATGGGATGAGTGTTACTGATGCCTTTAAGAAGTTCCGCTCATAGGTTGCCTCTGTTTTCAAAGGCTCCAGCATACAGATCTATAGCCATGGCTGCTTTGAGTGAGACTCATTGCCGTAAATGATAGAGCGGCTATGTAGTTGACACAAGAGAAATGCATGGATGCTCTGGAACAATGCATGCTACCGAAAAGAGATGAGACGAGGAATCAGTGTAGGAACAGCCAATTTTGTGGTATTCAAAGTATTCAATACATGACAAAGAATATGTGTGTATCCAAATGAAATAACAGGTCCGAAAGTCGCTTAGCAAAAAAAAGTACAATCCAAACGTAAATGTCGTCTATTCGGAGACCCAAACAGCGGCCATACCCATACCGGTACCGACACACATGCTAGTAACACCGATCTTCTTGTTTGTGCGCTTCAACTCAGTAAGCAAAGTGCTGACCTGGCGAGAGCCAGTGCAACCAAGAGGGTGACCGAAAGCAATAGCACCGCCCTTAGGGTTGATCTTCTCAGCAGGAATGCCAAGCTCATTGGCACACCAGACGCACTGGGAAGCGAAGGCCTCGTTGATCTCGAAGATATCGACATCATCCTTGGTGATGCCAGCCTTCTCCAAGGCAACGGGGATAGCCTTCCAGGGACCAACACCCATGAGAAGGGGCTTGACACCGACAATGCTAGCAGTGACGTACTTTCCGATAATCTTCTGGCCCAGACGCTCGGCGGTGGACCGCTTCATGAGGAGCACGGCGGCAGCACCATCGGAAATCTGAGAGGCGTTACCGGCGTGGATGGAACCATCCTTGGCGAAAGCAGGCTTGATCTTTCCAAGTGATTCGGCGGTAATGCCCGGGCGGACACCATCATCAGCCTTGACGGTAATGGTCTTCTCCTCGCCGGTCTTGGGATCAGTCCACTTCACGTCCAGAGGGGCGATCTCTTCGTTGAAGAGACCGGCCTTTTGGGCAGCAAGGGCCTTCTGGTATGAGCTGGCAGCAAAGGAGTCCTGTACAGCGCGGGTGACACCACGGTCCTTGGCCATGTTCTCGGACAGGACACCCATAGGGACCTTGCAGTTGGCAGATTCGGGGTGGCTTTCGAGGAGGTCGGAGAACTCAGTCACGGCACCGGGTCTGTCATAACAGTTGTTAGAAGATTACTAGAGAAGGATATTCGGATTTGAAACATACCCATATTGGGAGGACATGCTCTCAACACCAGCTCCAATACCAACATCGATCATGCCAGACTGGATGCCGTTGGCGATATCGGCGATGGCCTGGAGACCACTGGAGCACTGGCGGTTCAAGCTCTTGACGGCAGTGGTCTCGGGGAATCCAGCCACGAGTGCAGCAGCGCGGAACTCAGTAGCACCACCACCGGGGGCAAGGACGGAGCCAACGGCAATATCCTCGACGGCCTTGGGGTCAAGGCCACTCTTGTTCAAGACAGCCTTGAAGACACCGGCAAGCAGATCAGCTGCGGCAGTATCCTTGAATCCACCCTTGCCACCTTTGGTGAGGGCAGTGCGCAGAGCACATGTCACGACAATATCATCGGGGTGTTTCTCGGTAAGAGCGGCAGCTCCCTTCTTGCCTCCAGGGCCGAAGTGGGAGGACACCTGGTTCAGACGTTGCTGGGCTGAAAAAAAGTGTTAGTTCATCGAGCCCAGGAAATCGAAAGCATGGGAAATAGCTGGTTTAGATACAGCATAGCTTACACTTACCGTTAGACATGACGTCAATATAGGCTTGAGGGGTATGGGGAGTGGTATAGGGGGTTTTGAGGGGAAAGGGGAGGATATGGAAGCGAGCCTGGATATCCGGGGAGGTGATCTCTTATAGATCAGGCGGGTAATCGGTGATATTTCCCCTTTCAACGGCCGTTGCTGGCCGCTGGTAGCATTCGAAAGTACCGAGGTCCACCGTATCATTGATAGTCCGGGCCCGGGTCACGGGATCCCTCTCAGTGTCTTCGGCGTCGGCATGTGAAAAGTGCATCCCCGGACTTGCACATGTCGATGGACGTCATGCGTCGGGAATGTGATTGTCTGCTTGCTTTTTGGGCTTGAGACATTGCATCTGAGAGTGTCTATCACTAACATTCGACTTCAGTCGAAGTTGCCCATTTTCCTAACCGAGGCGGTCCTTGATCTCCCGCTGGCGACTATGATGATCTACAAGATTTTGTACATGAAACACACAGACTCAAAAGAATGAACCAGATTGTTGAAATACATCACTCTTAACAGAACTATCCGTGATCATGACTTTCCAGCCCGCGACATGATAGACGGACAAAGGCCTATTCCAGTGGAATTATCCTCTGAAACCGTGACCGTAGTCGTATGCAGGACATGGCCAGGCTCTATCGGCTCTACCGGCTCAAGAGAAAGAGCAGGATATAGTTGCTCTTGAGACTCTGATGTCCCAGGGCTTCTCAATGGTATATCGTAGTCACCCAGCCGCGGCCACGTAGTCTCGATTTTGTTCTTCTTCCAAGGCTTCTGGCGCGGCAGGGAGTTGGAACACTCGTAGGATGGGCTACTCGACGTACCAGCACCGGTGCCAAAAGCGATCTGTATCTTTCGAGGGAATCCTGATTCCATGACCATCTTTGAAAGGCAAGGTATGCTGAAGATGAAAAAGCCACAAGTCATTTCGGCACAGGCCCAGAATAGAAGTGGACCGAGCAAATAAATCTTGTCGGCTTCGTTGGTAACTATGACCGTGTGGGCTAGGCGGAGACATGCTGCAAGCAAAGCGCTGGATTTGAGTGAAGTTTTAGCTTGCTGGGGATTGTAGAATGGGTAGGGATTTGACTGACAGAACACCAACCCCAAAGATGATTGAAATGCCCAGCCTCTTCCAACGACTCATCTGTAAATTCCAGATAATCCTTTGAGGTAGCAGAAACATGAGAAAGTCCGAGATAATCTGGACACTAGCTGATGCAAGCATCACCCTGGGAAGGGAGTAGCATTTGCTAGGCAAATAAAAATTCCAAATGGCTTCGTGTGGTCGACATTGCATGTTTAACAGGATAATACAAGCAACTCCCCAGATACACTGGATAAAACTGACGAACAAACATCCCCACCAGAAGAAACTTTTGGACCGGTCGATGGCGACAAAAACCCTGCCCCAATCCAGTAAGATGGCGGTCTTGAGCAAAGGGAGTGCAGCCGAGTAGCTACAACCATACACCAGAATCAACTGGAAGGGTGAGCGATGGTTCACGGAGATAGTACTGATTTCAACCTACATAGAGAGGTTTGATCAGATCTCGATTATGGAGGTTCCACATATGGACTCCGTAACCCGGGGTATAAATTAAAGAATATGCGGCATAGGCCGTGCCCCAGTAGGCCCCCTGCAGGATGGTTAGTTACACATTGTGGGCGCTAAGGCGCACAATTGGGGTATAAAGCGTACATATGCACAGATCATCATCCCTATATGAAGGAAATGCTTGTCAATTAAGTCCATTCAGTGCTCAAGTGCACGTGAAGTCATGGATTAAAAAAAGGCTACCCAGCGTACCTTCTTCCACCCGAAATCGTTTGTCTATCCATATCTTCACGTAGGCTCGTAGAAAGAGACATAATGTTGCAACCACCATACACATGGTAGTCACAAACCAAGCAAGGGTGTTGTGGTTGGGAGGATTATCGAAAATTGGCGTTACTCCAGCTGGTGGTGGGAGAGCTGGGGCAGCCAAAATTTCGGCCAGGGCTTCATCTGAAGACATGGTGGATAGCATTCAAGGGCCGATGGTGGACCATGATCCATTTAATCAACGACACAAAACCCCATGGGAGCATGCTGGAAATGGTTGTACGAGTAGTCGGAATTGGTTACACGTCGGACTTGCGATCACTCATATACCAAAGTGAGGCATCGATTAGCTCTGATAGGTCAGTCATCAGTCTGTACTCGTAGATCCTCTTCATCCCCGTGTGCGGTCCAGGTGTACGAAGTACGGCCCGGGGAATACTCCGTACTTATTCCGTCCTCGTATGTGCACTGTCAACAGCGTGGCAACAGCACCTAAGCGCGAAGTCGGTGTGCCCGAGGGCATCTTGGGAGGATGAGTGTTGTATCGACGGGTGGGCGTTTCTGAACCGTAAATTCCTCAGATGTCGAATAATCCTGTTCTATCGAGGGGCTGATAGTTCTCAAATGGTGGCATTGGACCAGAGACCTCATTCATGTCCTCGCGTCACTCCATACATGGCTCTTATCCAGCCTCTCTCCCTTTCATTAGTGCGTTTGAAACATAGCCCCCAAAGCCTTTTCTGCTCTGGCCTCGTACCTTGTCAACGCACAATTGACATCGGATAGATTATCTCCACTTGAGTGACAGGTCTTCTCACGCAAGGGTCATAGCACCAAGATCATAGCGGCCGTGATCTCCAAATAAGCACACCTCTTCCTTGATGTGGCCCGTGTCCCCAAACCCACACTCTTGGATTCGCTTGGATCCTTTTATGGGTCTCTTTCCCGTGATAAAACAAATCACATCAATAAAAACAATGGGATAAATACTCCGTATTTTGCAGGGGATCCGGTTTTGATACATCCGCTGTCAGACAAAGGCCTAGGCAATGCGAAGTACTCGTACATGGCGACACTGCCATCGCATTTTTCCTACTCCGCACTCCGTACGGGCGAGGAAAACCTGGAACATCGAGCCTGGCCCTTAATCGACCTAATTGTTACTCAACTTGGTCCAACGCAGGACGTATTGGAGCAGGCAACAACAGTCGCAGACGCTGAAGGCCTCGGGGGTGCGAATGGCTCATTCTGGGCCCCTTTTCCCCTCTAGATGCCCACGCCTTGACCATCACAATCCAAGTAGGGCTACGAGAGCAGGGATCAAAGTTAGGCATCCAAAAATGGCGGGATACGGTGCAGTGGTCGAGGTTTGTGCCGTGACTGAACTTTTTGCGGACGTGAAATATTGACGTGGATACTAACTCATCACCATGTCGGTACCATCAAAGTGACTAGTTGGTACATGCGAGTTATCATGAAGCTCACAGCTTATTATCTAGACCCCCTCAATGTCAATTGTAGCCGGGACCAAGCAGCCTCAACATAACCAGGAACATCCACATGAGGAATAAACCCCCGTCCCCGTGGACCATAACCATCTCCATCATCCCTCAGCCTCGGGATCTCGCCCATGATCAGTTCCAAAAACCGATTCTGTGACCACAGCTGCTCCAACGGGATCGGTTTTCCGGGTGTTCGATCAGAGTATTCAAGCTCTCCGATCTGCAATTGTACAAGTGGTACAAAGACAGGACAGCTAATGATCGCAACGGATAAGTCTTCATAAGCCTTTTCAAATGAAGCCTTGGTCCGAAGCATCATCGTAGGATCTTGAATTACGATACATGTAGCAGGCTGTAGCCCTGCATCATCGAGCACCTTGCGACAGAATGAAGCATTCTGGCCACAGTTCGTAGATCTAGATTCAATCAAGATCTGACAACCACTCTGTGTGATCGAAGAGCGATCATAGAATTCATTCAGAATTCGTTCGAGGACCTCGGCTTCAGGGAGACCCTGGACTTCCTTTGCGATGCGGGAGAACTTCGGATGCGCTTGGACTGCATCATATATGAGCTCGGTTGAGTGTCCGATGCCTCCGCAGAGCACGAGGGTTTTGGTTAGAGATGGGTTTTGTTGAAGGGTTTTGAAGAGTACTTCGGCACCATGTAGAACGGCAGAGGCACAAATCACGATACAGTCGACTGGTGGGGTTGTGGAAAGGTCTTGCTGGTTATCGCTGAGAAAATTTGACAGAGTATTGATGTCTGCGACTGTTTGGGGGTTTGCCATTTTGGAATGCCGGGTTGGATCAATAGTGGACAGAGGGAAAATCGCAGGGTTGAACGACACGCTGAGATAAAGCAGCGGACAAGAGTCGGCTTGGCAGTTTCCTTCTGGTGGATCAAAATCACTTTCGAGAAATGAAGCCTCTAGAGATCCAAAATTATCATCGATGGTTTCGATGGACTTTTATTTAAACGGCTCTTGGAACATCCACCGGGATCACTACCCAAAGGGGAAAAGCCAAGTATTGGATATTTTACGCAAAGGGGTTCAGACACATTAACAAGTTAAAACCAGTGATGATTCATTCAATTCTCGTATCTGTTCATAATTTGTCATGAAAAAGTCCTGTCGGAATAACAGGCGTCGCTGTACCAGGGAGAGACAGGAATAAGATCCCTCGTCTCTCCGCCGCCTGTGCCAATATGTGGCTTCATTACATCAAGTCCGCAGGGATTCTCTGGACAAGGAAATGCAGTTGCAAACAAATAACACCAATAATGCCGGCGCCAAGAGAAGGCCATAAACTCCAAAAGGTCAAATAAACAAAGATACCAACAAAAAGATTGGGGGCTGCTTGTGGTTCAGCCCAAACGCCGTGTCATGAGTGGAGGCCAAAAGAACGAAGGGGGAAAAAGACACGAGGAGAATAGAAAATTCGTTATGTTGAGCCGGGGGTTGCGCGTCCGGTTCTCAAAGCCAGCTACGTAGGTCGTTGGACGGGGTCGTTGGACCGGGAGCTGGGCGGGTTTCGAAGTCCAGAGCCAATTCAAGCTTGGGAGGTCGCTCGTCGATCAGACCCTTCTTGGGGCTGCCTGGGGTGGACTTCTTAAGGGATTTAGTGGGTGAGCCAGCCTCGCCGACTCGGGGTGGTCCTTCGCGGACAAAGGTGTATGGCCAACCGTCCGCGGCAGCGGCGGCGACCCAGGTTCGCAAACAATCATGCACAGAGGCATAGAACTTCTCCTTGCAAGTACGCAGGCTACCTCCCATGACCTTCTCAAACCCAGAGGCTCGGAGCTCATCACGTAGTTGGTTGCGCTCATCCGGAGTGGGCAGCATAGCAATAAGGGCGTTCATAAGATCAAGGTGCGCAGCAAGATAGTTGGTCGCATCCCATTCGACGCCACCAACATATGGAGCAGCAGGAACGGGAGGACGAGGAGGAGGGAAGTGGCGCTCGCTGTACGAGCGAGTGTCCACAGGGGTGTTCTCATCAGAGACATCTTCTGTCTTGGGAAGCGGGATGACATTGAGATGGTGGAGGAAGATCCAGAATACTTCTTTGGTCACGTTGGTGACCTCTTTGCACCAAACCCGATAGGGTCGGGACTGATAGATGTTGGCAATGAAGGACAAGGGCTGATTATCCGCCGGCGGCGCAGGATCTTTCAGGTAGGAGAGAATCTGCTTGGCACGCTTGGTGGCTTGCTCGCCAGCCGGGGCATTGGAAAGTTGCGTGAAAAGCAAGTTCGCGATGATCCCGCGAGTAGTAAACTCGCTGGGGCCCTTCTTCTCCTCGTCGAACACCATTTTCAGCAGTGCAGGGAAAAGTTCGCCCTCAATGGCAGAGAGATGGGCCAAGGCCACGGATGTGGTGCAAAGAGCCTTGAGGCAGAGCAATACCTCGTGTAACAGAGTATCTTCGTGGTCCTCCCTATACAGTATATTAGCAACGGTTAAAGAAGAGATAAGAAGGACTACATACCGCCAGATCATCTTCATGATACGGTAGAGAAGCTGGACGATTTCATCCATCCCCCCCTCGGTGATGAAATCGTTGACCCATTGAACTGTTTCGTTGCGTAGAAGAAGACGGAGCTTGTGCATCTTCCCCACTTCAACCATCTCTGGCTTCTGGATTTCTCTCAGATAATGCACAAAGTCAGATGGATCCGCGGCGGTGTCAACGGCAGCTGCTTCGGCGAGGGAGCCCGTGGAGGCATTGGCGGAAAGAGTGGTGTAGACACCGACAGGCTGAGAGAGGTCGACAGATCGCGGGCGGCGATTCGACGCTTCACTGTCCCGTCGCAATTTTTTGCCAGGAGACGAGGGTCCCTTGGCAAGATTAAATCCACGGGTGCGAGAGCGTGACCGAGACCCTTTACGGTCCTGAGGTTCAGCATCCTCCTTGGATTCTTTGCCACGTCCTCTGCGGCTGTCGCCAGTTCCTGAACTCAGAGGGGTCATGTTCTCAGTACGGTCTTTCTGGATGAAATCAGCCTTGATGTTGGTGTCAAGAGAGCGCATCTTGTCTCTCATATTGTGTGGAATGTTTCTCGCATCCTATATATGGGTTAGCGATTCAACTGAGCGCATTGTATAGCAAGATCAACAAACCAGCAACTTCTCGAACTCGCTTTCAAGATCCTTAGAGTTCAAATGCTGGTGCACTTCAGAGTCCTTTTCCTTGGCGTTGAACACCGAGATCGCAGCCTGTACACGAGACATTCGCTTGGGGGGCTCGTCTTTTGCCATTGTGGGAGCCGTTTTCTGTGGGCTGGGAGGCCCTCGACCCTTAGTCGAAACATTGTCGGATCGCTTCGAGAAATCGTTGTCGCCCGAGGTTGCTCGCTGTATTCCAAACAAGTCTTTCACCTTGCGATTTCCGGTTAGAATGTCTGACTTCGGGCGAGGCTTGGCGTCGCTGGGTTTCGCAAGAGATGGCTGGTGGAAGTCATAGAAATTGCGCTGCTGGCTTGGTCCATACCCTTTGGGTGTATAGAGGGAAACTTCATCCTCTACATTTCGTCGTGGTTCGGCGGTGGAGCTTGGCCTTGATCGGCCGATGGGCTCTCTGTGAAAAGAGGCGGAGTCCTGCGAGCAGGCAGGCGACGGCATGTTATCGATGAGGTCGGTCGGGCTGCGGTTCTCTTTATCCCGGCTTTGTTTGGAGTTTGAGCCATCTTTACGGCCTCGCTGCGATCTTTTGAGGATAGCCGAAAGGCTGTTGGATGATTTGGCCTTCTTGGGTGACAGCTCGTCACCTTCCTCGGCCGGTGCATCCTCCGATTTGCCGTCCTTCCGCTCCATATAACTTCGAAGTGACTTCAAAGAGACGGCGCTCTTAGTCTTCTTGTGTAGAGCTCCCTTCCCTTCTTTGCCTCCACTCTTCGGTGGGGCACCGTTGTCGCCCACATCGCGGTTGGGCACGATTTCACTCAGAGGGCGATATCCGGTTTGGATACCAGATGGCTCACCGAATGAGAAAGGAGGATTCTCGCATGGTTTGCTCCTTTGCAACGGTCGGGGCGGAACATCGTCTGCGGATTGATTTCGTTTATGGGATTTGGGTGACATGATGGCGCGGAACATCGACGGTTTGGTAGGTGATCGGCTCGCATCGTCGAAGATCTGGGGACCAGATGTACTCGCCATTGCTATTCTCTTTGGCCAGCAACCTAGATGCTGTCAGAGAAAAAAAGGCGGGGAGGGGTGAGGAAGACGGGTAGTCGCAGGGTTGAACTTACGGGAATGCAAAACAAACGCAGTGAAAAACGCAATGACAAGGAACAAACAAGGACCCCGAGGGAACAAAAAAGCAAAAAGCGTCGGAGGGGGGAATAGAAAGCCTTAAGGGTAAAAGCAAGTTCGGCTGCCAACAGCAACCGTCATCGACGGAGATGTAAGAGAAGCTGGAGGAGTAAACAACGTGCGGGTAAAGAGGTTGCGCAGGGCAACCATCTGCAGCTGGCGGTCAAGATGGGGTTTATTAGCACCTATTAACCTTCTATTGATCTGGTTGCGGTGCCTATCACATCGGAACATGTCATATTGCATATTATTGTCGACTCTAGACCTGTCCTTGCAGTTGTCTCATTATTGGATTGTGAATCCGACTGGCTGTTGACCGAGGGTATTCAGAGAGTACGAGTATACGAGTAGGTATACGAGTATAAGGAGTTTTCTGTGAGGATACAATCAGATATGATTCCAATCCCAGCTGAAGATCTTCTACAGAGGGATAGCTATAGTGATAGACATTCCAATACTCAAGTAGTATTCCGTATATATTTCCGGCTCTCCTTGCCACTGAGCACTCCCCTACCTTAGTGCCCACCCATCCTACAGGCAGTACTGAGTATAGGCTATTCACAATGCTTCCGATGCCGGACCCCCAATTGAGAACACATGCAGCTTCCTGTCGATTTACTCCATTCCAACTTTATGTTGTGATCTGGCCATTTCATATGCAGAGAGACGTGTGCAACTGGCCAGCACCAACTGGCATTCCGCCGTTTGCGACCCGGATAGGGCCATCATATTTTCAATATGTACTCACACCCAGATGTTCACACAACTCACAGCTCCGACAACTACGACAATTACTCCGTCAATTCAGGTTTCACTGACTTCGACATGAATGCAAGACGTGGAGATGAACCTAAACAATTAGATCTCGGGACTCGGGCACTTCCGGACTCTCCCCACCATCTCTTTCTCCCAAGGTTTTCCGATACTCATAGGTAACCTTGGCAATTCCCCCAAACCTCATCCTCTGTCTATATCCCTGCGCCAAGAAAATCTGCAGCCATGAATTGCCCCTCGCGGAACGATGACACTCTTGCCCACCCGGGCTGGAATCAGAGTCCACCGCCCTTCAGTGCGGACACCACCACCCGGAATGACTTTAATGGCCTCGCGAATTCCCGGGTCCATCGCAGACATGCTCTCAATTCAGATACAGCAGATGACCCGGCGTCAATTGAAAATAGACCGCACAGCCAGCAACAGCGTGATCCTGGGAAGGAAAAATCCCCCAGTGGCGAAGTGACCGCTGCCGACGGGGGTAATTCACCCCCGGAGAGCAGGTCACCTCGCCTTGCCTTTTCTGAATATATTCATTCCTCAGCGCTGCGCTGTGCCCAGACTTTGGTGAAATTCGGCCGTTTCATCGGCCCTGGATTTCTGATTGCCGTTGCCTATATTGACCCAGGCAATTATGCCACTGATGTTGCAGCCGGTGCGCAGTTCAAATACGCATTACTGTTTATTGTCCTACTTTCCAACCTATTTGCGATTCTATTGCAGTCTCTCTGCATCAAGCTAGGCTCAGTGACAGGCTTGAATTTGGCAGAGAATTGTCGAGAGCATCTTCCCAAGTGGGTGACTATCTGTCTCTACATCCTGGCCGAAGCCGCCATCGTCGCCACGGATATTGCAGAGGTGAGTTTGAAATGCGTGTAGTACCGTTTGGATATGAGAACTGACGACCCGAAAAGGTGGTTGGATCCGCTATCGCCTTGAATCTTCTTTTGAAAATCCCTCTGGTAGCTGGTTGTGCCATCACACTGGTGGATGTCCTTTTCATTCTGATTTTCTACCGGCCCAATGGAACCATGTGGGGATTGCGCCTTTTCGAGTTCTTTGTGATGGCTCTGGTGCTGGGAGTCGTTGTGTGCTTCTGCATCCAGCTTTCGCTCATCCAAGACCAATCGGTTGGTGAAGTTTTCCGGGGCTATGTACCTTCTTCGGCCATCGTCACATCGGAAGGGTGAGTTTCTAAAATTCTGTCCGGCTCTTGATTCACATCACTAATATACATGCAGGCTTTATCAAAGTTGTGGAATCCTCGGAGCCACAGTCATGCCGCATTCTCTCTTCCTGGGCAGCGGTGTTGTCCAGTCTCGCCTCAAAGAATTTGATGTCACGTCTGGCTACGTGGAGACCACAGTGCCCCTGGGCAATGCTGATGGCGAAGTCAAATATCGCCCATCTATCCATGCGATCCGAGGCTGCATGAAGTACTCGATCGTTGAGCTCTCCCTGTCACTTTTCACATTCGCTCTATTTGTAAATAGCGCAATTCTCATCGTCGCAGGTGCCTCTCTATACAAGGTCCCTGGAGGCGCTGATGCGGATCTGTTCGGCATCCACAGTCTTCTCTCGTCATCTATCTCATCTGCCGCAGGTTTGGTGTTTGCCCTCGCTCTTCTGCTGTCAGGTATATCTGCCGGCATTGTCTGTACAATCGCTGGTCAAATGGTCAGCGAGGGGATGCTGAACTGGACTATTAGGCCCTGGATGCGCAGACTCATTACCCGCTCGATCAGCATCATCCCCAGCATCATCATTGCTGCTGCGGTCGGAAAAGAGGGTCTTGATAAGACTCTAACAGCCAGTCAAGTTGTCCTGAGTGTCATCTTGCCATTTGTTTCGGCGCCTCTTATTTGGTTCACATGCTTCAACCGCTACATGACAGTCCGAACGGAGGAGCCTGGCGAGCGTGATGGCGAAGTGGACGTGGTGACGGTACCGATGAGGAACAGCCTGTTCACTTCTGTACTCGCAGGTGTCGTTTGGCTCGTCATTGTGGTGATGAATGTGGCTCTGCTGGTCCTTGTGGGCATGGGTAAAGCATCTTGATCCAAAGTTGCTACCCGCTACACCGACCCATTGCCTGTGGGCGGTCTTCCAGCGAAGCCGATGGCCTCGTATTCTTACTTGCCGCTGTACTATTGCGGTCGCGTCACTGTCCCACCGAGAGATCTCAAAGTATCTTGAAATGAGATATGAGCATAGTTTAGATCAGGCTAAAATAAACATCAAACCAGTTGAACTCCCTTGGGCCCTGACATAAAAACACCAGTTCGTGCTGAAATAAAACGCTTAAAATAAACTCATCCAAGACCGCCAGCAGCTTCCTTGACCTTATGTTGCTCGGGTGGCTCATCGATGAACTGTGGAGGAGCAACCTCATCCTGTAAGAAGCTTGGCATAGCACTCTCGCCCATGCTGCTTTCAAACATGGATTCCTCGCCCAGCGCCTCCAGTTCGGCATCCAGCTCAGACTCGTCGACATCCTCTGGGACATCGTAAGCCCGAGAGATACTCTCTTGGATTTCATTCCCGACCTCCATCAGGTCCGCCATTTCATCCTGCATCTGCTCGATCTTATCCACGTCGACCTTCCCATATTGCTTCTTGAGCTCCTTCGTTGTAGTCTTCATGGCATCCACCGTCGTCATCACGTTTTTCAAATTATCCTGCATCATGCCTGCCTGCTCCATGTTCCACGATTGTTGCGAGAGCTGATCACGCTGCGCCTCGTATTGTTTCCGCCGTTGCAGGACTTTGAGCGCTTTCTGTCGGAGCGCGTTCTTGCCAGGCCCGTCGCGCATCTTTGCCATCTTCGTTTGGTACGTGGACAGTTCGGAGTTGAGCGCCGCGAGCTTCACATCTATGCTGGATACTCGGGTGTCGACCTGTCAGGCGGTTAGTGGGGGGCGGTTTCATGAGGGGGTGGCTGCTCAATCGGTCTTCGTGACATACATTTGAGATGGCGCTGTCGAGAGTTGGCTTGGGAGCCGTGCTCTTCGAACCAAATAATCTGTTCATGGTGGGTTGGGTATATGGTTGGAGTTTGGAGGGGGTTCAAGTTGTAGGCAGCGGACTTGGGACCACTTCCAGACCACGCGTGGCCAGTGCTCAAAAGAACTGCGATCGGTGGGCCTAGAGGATCGTGACCCGATTACTGGGATAGGCTACTAATGGAAGAACAGAAGACAAGAGGATTATAAAGATCACAATGTACTGATTTGCCTCACAGACTATGTGGCCATGCATTCTACTAATGCGGAGCAACGTCAGTGGAGGCCTGAGGCCACTGCACGTGATACCACTGTCCAATGCCCGAAAATGAGTACTCGTACTGTTTCATCTGAACAGAGCTTGGTGATCTGAATATCAGAACATTGAAGTGTAAAGTCGGCTGAACTGTCAGATGAGAATAGTCAGGTAGTCAGCTGGGACTCTTTCCAGGGTGAATCCTATGTACATGTCAGGGCCCCCAGTTGGGCCACGATGTAGGACAGGGACCCGAAGGTATCGAGTACTTTCGGCAACACACAAATGTGGCGGGGAGAGGCTGTACCGAATACCGTGAGTCTGGCCAATGCAGCTGACCTCGTCAGAGATCAAATAGAAGAGACTAGAAGCCTATAAAAGCAGCAAGTTAAGAAGAGAGACAAGAAATTAGTGAATCTCTAATATTCCAATGTTCCAATATTCTAATATTTCAATATTCCATCTTATCTCTAGAGTGTTATAGAGTGTTATAGCCCTGGTAGCCCTGTGAGGTTCATCCCCCGCGGTGATTACATACTTTCCGCCCCTTCAGTAGGGTAATTTGCTCAAAGCTCACCTCTTCTCTCTTTACAGCTGCTTCCTTGATGGACAGGTGTTGAGTCGCCATCCCGTGTGCCTCGAGTCTTACTTGAAACTAAACTCCACTCTGCTTTTCCTTCCCCCCCCTCATCTTTCCCCGAACCCACAGGTTCTAATTTCTGTTCTTCGTCACTCCCTCCAGATTGAAGGTACGCTCGTTTCAGGAGCCTTATCAATCAGCTCCTACATATTCTCTCCCTATCTTGCAAGCTCGCAGTCTCGTACTTGGTTGTGTCGCAATCATCCGACGAGGGTCCGTTTCACACCGGGCACGCACCACCGGGTCTGCGGGTGATGCAAGCTTGTCGAACTGGATCGCTAACAGACTGTTTATTCACACAGCGCTAGCTCGCTTCAATTTTTTTCTTAATACCCTTTCTCAGCAACGCTAGCTTCAATCATTTATCGGCCGTCAAGGTCAACCATACCCCACTCGATCTGCGCGACCTGGCCTCTGTGTGTGGACACCACGCTTTGCCGGTGTATCGGCCTGTCGCGCAACCTCTCCTGAGATTTCGATCCTTCAACCATCCCTTGTATCATAGACTGCTCCGTTACGACACCTCGGAGACGAACGAAACGAACCATTTCATGAATTATTCCCCTCGGCTATATACTTCATCATGTTTTGGCGTTTTGGGGGATATGCGAGTGTCTCCACCATCGATACCCTGCTCGATAAACCCGATGTCACCCTCGAAGAGCTTTTGGATGAGCCAGAAATCATCCAGGAACTGAAACAGCTTAATACAAAACTCATTGAATATCTGCGCGAGGATCATGTCTTGAAACGGCTTATGGACTACGTGATTGCGCCAAGCTTAATCACTGATGATGAAGAGAATGACGAAGACGATTCCAACGCACAAGATGACTCCGACAAAGACAAAGATGCGGAGGCTTCCGCGGAGCAGACAGAAATAAACGAGAAAGAGGGTGACCCGTTAAAGGATATCCTGGATCCGGAGGACCTGGAAAAGGTAGAGAAGTCTCGGTTGAAGCATTCGTACATTGCGTGCGAGATTCTTTCCTCGGAGACATGGTCCATCCTCGAATCCATGATGGCCAACCCTTCCTACTTGCGCGACTTCTGGGGATTCCTGCGCCGCTCCCCGCCTCTCGATTCTTTGCAGGCAAGCTACTTCACCAAAGTCAACGAGACTCTGCTTGATAAAAAGACCGAGGAGATGTTAGCGTTTTTAAAGTCCCTCGATGGAATTGTTGAGGCACTCTTACAGCACGTCGATAACCCCATGGTCATGGACCTTCTCCTGAAGATTATTAGCTTGGAGAAAGCAGAGGGTGGCCAAGGCACCGTCGACTGGCTCAAGTCCCAGAATCTCATCCCCACGCTCTTGTCTTACCTGTCACCGGATCGTCCGGCTTCTGTTCAAACCTCAGCGGGTGACTTCCTGAAAGCCATCATTACGATTTCTGCAAATGCAAGCCCGAACGATCAGTCATGCATTGGACCCAATAGCCTCACGCGTCAGCTTGTGTCCGCCGAGTGCGTGCAACAGCTCATTGATGCTATGCTCAGAGGCGGCAACCCATTAACCGTCGGTGTGGGAATCGTCATTGAGGTCATCCGCAAGAACAACTCTGACTACGATCCCGAGAACATTGGCGGACCCGACACGATGTTGACCACGTACGACCCGATCTACCTCGGAACACTCTTGCGTCTCTTCGCCAAACACATCCCTCAGTTCATGGCTCTCATTCAAAGCTCCCAGCACACTATTCATGACGGAACCAAGCTGAAGACCGTCGAAAGAGGCAAGCTGAGTTCTGCATGGGGTGGCCAAATTGAGCCACTTGGGTTTGACCGTTTCAAGACATGTGAATTGATGGCCGAGCTGTTGCACTGCAGTAACATGGGACTTTTGAATGAACCGGGCAGCGATGAGTACGTGAAGCAGAGAGACGAAGAACGCGAGCGGTTGATTCGAGAGGGTGTTTTTGATCCTCACCACGACGAGCGCTCGGGTGTTGACTATAATGACACCACTGTCGATTTCACGAACGAATCAGCCCTGGGATCTGGATCTCCAGAAGATATCAAAATCACGGAAGCACCACATGCCGACGAAGAAGAAGGATTTGAAGATGTTGGTGCGTCTGGTGTTCTGGCCGCCGAGCAAACCGGAGCCGATAAGTCGCCCGGTGCAACTTCGCAGCCGTCACAAACAGTCACCGAGCTTCCTTCAACTTCCACCGCTACGGAGCCAAAGCCTGAAGATCAGTCAAATGTCTCTCAGCCTGCGGAGGAATCTACCACGCCGTCGTCGCCAAGCATCGGTCTTCCGGACCAGGTCGACAGTATGAAGCTCGAGAATGAACCACAAAGCGGGCAGAAGGTCGCCGAAAAGGCAAACCAAGAGCCTGAGACCTCAGCACCTGGAGACGTCCCCGCTCCCCTCTTCACCAAGGATCCTGCAGCGGATAACACCACCGATCCTGTTGACCAGCCAGCACAGGAGCCTGTGGCCGATGAACAGAGGGAGGAATCAATAATCATGAACGACGGAGGAGATGAAGACTCGGCCGAACAATACATTCAACTGGACACTGATGGACAGCCTGTGGTCGGTGATTACTTGAAAATTCAGTTCGTCGAAAACAAGGTGGTCCCAACTATTCTGGTTAGTATTCCCTGTCATATTCAGGCTAGAGGTATCTTGGCTAACTATCAAAGGGCTTTTTCTTCCGCTTCCCATGGAATAACTTCCTTCACAATGTCGTTTACGATGTTATCCAACAAGTATTCAACGGACCAATGGAGCGTGGCTACAACCGTGCGCTTGCAGTGAATGTCTTTGACACGGGCCGTATCACCACAGCCATTGTTGAAGGCCAAAAGCGCAGCGACGAAGCCCAAAAGACCAAGCAAATCCGCCTTGGCTACATGGGACACCTCACACTGGTTGCTGAGGAAGTTGTCAAGTTCAGCGAACGCCACCCGCCAGAGTTACTTTCCAGATCAGTCATGGAAAGTGTATTGAATCCTGACTGGATTGAATATGTGGAACAGATCTTGTCTGAGACCCGAGAAAGAGACAATGCCATTCTCGGCGGCGTCCGCCCGGATATGTCCGTTGGATCTCGACAGACAAGCCTGAACAACAACAGCAACAATAACAGCTCTGCACAGGGCTTCTCGAACTCCAACGCTTTATCGGACGCAGGCCTGAACGGAGGAATTGGTGGCTCAACCTTCCAGAGCTTCGACCTCAACCAAGGAAGCGTGTCCGGTGGAGCATTTGGCGGTGGAGGCACTTCCCTTCTAAGCGACTTTGCCAGCTCAAGTGATGACGAAGAAGATGAAGAAATGGAGGATCAGAGCGAAAGGGACACTGGCAACACCGAACAAGGCAACTCTGACGATGTGGGTAACCTCTTTCCGATTGACTTAGCATAGTGATGCGGATTTCGTAATCGATTCCGTGCGCTATATCCGACTACCACCCCCTCTCCCTACCTACCTTGCTCAGTGTGCTCAATGGGATATACCAAAATGGGGCCGATACCAAGGACCATGTTCCATGCTCAAACGTGGATTTGGAATGTCATTCTGATGTATATGTTTTCTTTTCATGTTTCGCCCCCTCAAACCGGCTCTGTTGCCATTCACATACACTCAATTGCACATGATGAACCATCAAATCTATTGCAGCTTTACTAATACGCCTCACAGGTATCAACAAGTTCAGCAAGTCAGCCGATTCCAATTCTGCCACCGCCTCCAGCTCCTCTGAGCCTGGGCCCATCACGGGCACGGCGACAGTTGGCAGCGCGTCTTGCCGCTCAAAAACAGCAATCTTCAGAAACCGTAGAGGGTCAGGGTGAAGATAGAGAGGGAAGCGAAGATCAAGAGACTGGCTGGCCAACCAACCCGTTCGTGATTGCAGGCGTCGACGACGATAACGAAGGCACAAACTCGGCGTTCCCTAACAGTGACTTCGGTTCCAAAACCGTACACTCTCCTACCTTCCCAGAATCTGGCTTTAGCCCCCCAGATTCTCTTTCCACCAACTCATCTGAAGATGAAAATGACGGCCGCCCGGAGTCCGTCCGTCGCCAGGTCCGTGTTCCTCTCGAGGTCGAAGATGAAGATGACGACGAGATGGGTGAAATGGTGGGACCGAGCAGCATGGGCATGATGGACTCGGACGACGAAGATGAAGCCATCATCAATGAATCCCTGGGTTACTCTAACCTTTCGGGTCCCGGTCGGTACAACAACTTCCGCCGAGCCCGAGCTGTCAGCTCTCACTACGAGGATGAGCAGAATGACAGCAGCGATGGAGAAGATGATGGCTTAGTCGAAATCCTGGTCCCTGGTCGTAAGTCTTCGACTTCAAACTAAGCGTGGGGGCTTTGTATATACACCTTACGTCAATGAGGTAGCCGGGATCTGCATTAATGATTGTGATCTGATGTTTTTCCTTGTGTCTTGGCATGTATTGCATGCCCTCCATCTGCGCATGGCTTACGAGTCTCCCCTTTGGCTTTTTTTTCTTCTTCTTATTCCACGGTTGTCTTGTTTTGGCATTTGCCTGTGTACGATAGGTTGAGTCTGGAGAGGCGAATTGATGCTTTAGTTCAAATTGTCGACATGCATTTGTATCCTGCAGTGACGCGTCAATTGTTAAGTCTCGAGTGAAATTGTAGTCTTTGTATGGAGTGTAGCATCCTCTTTAGATTGTTCGATGCGGACACGGAAAAAAAGCGGGCCCCACCATGGCATCCCGCATCAATTCTTTTTGCAAGAACCCGGACCATATCACATTGTAACTCTCCTCTTTTCCAGAGTCACCTATATTCAACAAGGGCTTGTCACATGAAATCAGTCAATATGGCAGCTGCCTCCGAGTAGGTGCCTTTACCAGCACTACGTCATATTTTTCGAAGTACAAGACATCTAATTCCGACGACAGATCCGTTGATCCAACATTAAAGGCTCACACCGAGCTAGTGAGCTGGTTCATTCAGCATGGCGGCACAATCGATAAGGCCGTACGCATCACACAAGATGACTTGCGAGGCGTGCACATGCACGTGAAAGCAGACTTGCCGGACTCCATCCCCAGAGAAACGCGGGTCATCAACACCCCAATTAGCGTTTCAATGTCCTGGTACAATGCCATTGGATACGAGTGCTCCAAGGGCTCGTTTTCCAAACACGGTGTCGACTTCCCGCGCCAATGGATAGATGAGATCGGACCCGAGGAGACATTTGCTTTCTTCCTTATGGGCCAGTATCTGCGCGGATCAGAGAGTTTCTGGTACCCGTATCTGCGCACCTTGCCTCAACCGGGTCAATTGACTACACCACTTTTCTTTGGCGAAGAGGATGTGGATTGGATCCAGGGGACGGGTATCCCCGAGGCATCGGTGGAGAGAATTAAGGTCTGGGACCAGAAGTATGATGATGCTATTACCAAGCTGGAGGAATTTGGTTTCCTTGACTGTGGGGAATTTACATGGTGAGACCATATGCCATATTGATATGAAGAAGTCAAAAGCTAATGGTGTAGGGAACTGTACATGTGGGCTGCGACTATCATTACATCGCGAGCATTCTCGCCAAAGGTACTTTCCGGGGCTGTGGAGGCTGACGATCTGTGGGAAGATCGTGTTTCAGCCCTGCTTCCTCTCATAGATTTGCCAAACCACCGGCCAATGGCAAAGGTCGAGTGGCGAGCGGGCGAGGAAGATATTGGTCTTCTTGTGCTTGAGGAGCTCTCCCCAGGCCATGAGATCTCGAATAACTACGGTCCTCGCAATAACGAGCAACGTAAGTATCCTATTCATCATGGATATCCTTGAAATTATGACTTTGTGGGATGGCACTGACTATGCTTATAGTGTTGGTCAACTATGGGTTCTGCCTTACCAACAATCCCACCGACTACCGCATCGTCCATTTGGGCGTGAAGGCGGATAGCCCACTTGGACAAGCTAAGGCCCGTCAGCTGGAGCTGTTCCCCGAAGTGGCCAAGAATGTCGAGGATCACTATTACATCTTCAATCCGTTCTATCCTCTTTTGGCCCCCGAGACCTCAATGGAACACTCAATCTTCTCACCGGCATTGTTCAACGCATTGACAGTGATGGAGTCAAACGCCCGTGAGCGTGATATGCTCGAGATCACCGACACGGGAATTCAGATCACACCCGCATATGGCAATGGTCATAGTATCTATGCTGCACTGGCACAGATCAGCTTCGAGATGATTGCTCACGCCTATAACCTCAAAGCCAGTGCACAGGATCTGGCACCGCAACCGACAACTCTGAATCAGACACACGCACAAATCTACCGTAACGGTCAAATCTCATTAGATTATGCAGCCTTGATCGTCGCAACTTGGACCATCACCCGTGGCCGGGAACACAAGCGCGGCGAAACCTGGGAAGATAACAAGGTCATGTTGTCTGAGCTTATGGCACGAGTTCCTGCCGGTCTGCTCTCGGACGAGGTTCTCTCCAGGACTCGCGTGCGTATCCTAGAGCGTCCGTCCCTTATAGCCAAGAATGGTGAGCTATTCAGGTTGGGCGAATTATTTAATTTGCTACCGGTTGAGATGCAAGAGCCGGCTCAAACGTGCTTCCAGCATATTCTGGGTATAGCAAGTCAGGAGGTCCCACCCGTGGCCAGTGACCCGCAGACTCTGTTTGCAACGGTGATCTGCTTGCTGGCTGCAACTTATAACTCGCCCCAGGCACGTTCCAAGCTCCCACCTCGCCTGACCAAATGGGTGTCATTTTTGCTTGAAAAATACTCGCTTTCTGCTGTTTGCTCGGAAGAAGCCAGTCAGCCACTTCGCATGTTCCAGGAATATGCCGATGCCGAGAAGCCGGGAGCATTGGCATCTGGTGACGGTGTTGACTGGCTTGCTGAGGGCAGTGGGTGGTTGGAGCCCAATTGGCTTCAATGGGCGTGGACCGTGGCAGGGACAGAAATGGTGATGATTCCTCTGCAGTCTTTGGAGATTCTCAATATGGAGGGAGAGCCTTCTATGCTGAAGCAAGCTTGCCTTTATGTGCCACAGGAGTAGATCTAGATCTATAGATAACTAGGCGGGCAGCACATTTGATTTATTTCTAGTGAAAAGGTTGTAGCATAGAGAGTTAGGCTATATCGATACGAGGTGGTGACTATTCGAGAATCGTCTTTTATAGGGATACCTGAAGCGTACCTATATAAATATTGGACGACCATTCCCACCAGTAAGAATGTGGATTATGCAAGCGAGGTTCCCAGTGAATAATTGTGAGGGCATATGCTACCCGCTAAGGCCCTGAGAGAGCAGCACCAGGCGAGTATTGGAATCCAGCAATTACTGTAGTATTTACCAAAAATTGATGTTTCGATGCTGAAAAGTAATAGTGATGTACCCCGTCATCCAGATGTCCGAATCGGGATGTTTACTCAGCATATATCACGTGACTACTTTCCACCCAATCAAATCAGGGATAAAGGCGGATCGTTCAGCAAGCGCAGGAATTGCCGTGAGCTCACTCCCTTCCCTCTCCACGACCCTTCAATTCCCACCAAGTATCGTCACTCCCGCCGTCAACATGCTTTCTCGAGCGGCGGCTCCGACCTCCTCCCTCTCCCAACTCTCGTCCCGCTCCCTCCGCGCCCAGGGGGCGGCCGCCCGCTCCTTCGCAACTGTTTCGGAGGCGCCTCCCGTCAAGCACCATGGTGGACTCCGTGACCAGGACCGCATCTTCACCAACCTCTACTCACACCACGGGGCGGATCTCAAGTCGGCAATGAAATATGGTGACTGGTACCGTACCAAGGATATGATTGTGAAGGGTGATGATTGGGTGAGTTGTCGCACATTTCCAATGAACAGTGCGGGAAATATCAATTGCTAACGCCATGATCAGCTCATCTCAGAAATCAAGGCCTCCGGTCTTCGTGGCCGTGGTGGAGCCGGTTTCCCCTCCGGATTGAAATACGTAAGTGGCATACATGCAGTTCGGCAACGGTGATGAGATAACCGGGCTGACCCGCGACTCGATAGTCTTTCATGAACACCAAGGATTGGGACAAGGATCCCCGCCCTCGCTACCTCGTTGTCAATGCTGATGAGGGTGAGCCCGGAACTTGCAAGGATCGTGAGATTATGCGCAAGGACCCCCAGAAGCTGATCGAGGGTTGCTTGGTCGTCGGCCGTGCCATGAACGCCAACGCCGCCTACATCTACATCCGTGGTGAGTTCTACCACGAAGCCACTGTCCTCCAGCGGGCCATCAACGAGGCCTACGAGGCCGGTCTCATCGGAAAGAACGCCTGCGGCTCCGGTTACGACTTCGACGTGTACATCCACCGTGGAATGGGTGCCTACATTTGTGGTGAGGAGACCTCACTCATTGAGTCAATTGAGGGCAAGGCTGGCAAGCCCCGCCTTAAGCCTCCCTTCCCTGCTGCCGTTGGTCTGTTTGGTTGCCCCAGCACAGTCACCAACGTCGAGACTGTTGCCGTCACCCCCACAATCATGCGTCGCGGTGCCAGCTGGTTCTCTTCATTTGGCCGTGAGCGCAACGCCGGTACCAAGCTCTTCTGTATCTCCGGTCACGTCAACAACCCCGTCACTGTCGAGGAGGAGATGTCCATCTCGCTGCGCGAGCTGATCGAGAAGCACTGCGGAGGTGTCCGTGGTGGCTGGGATAACCTTCTTGCCGTTATCCCCGGTGGTTCTTCCACCCCTGTCATCCCCAAGTCCGTCGCCGACAACCAGCTCATGGACTTCGACGCCCTGAAGGACTCCCAGACTGGTCTGGGAACTGCCGCCGTCATTGTCATGGACAAGTCCACAGATATCGTCCGTGCCATCTCCCGTCTGTCTACCTTCTACAAGCACGAGTCTTGCGGTCAGTGCACTCCCTGCCGTGAGGGTAGCAAGTGGACTATGCAGATGATGCAGCGTATGGAGACCGGTAACGCCCGCGAGCGTGAGATCGACATGCTCCAGGAGCTCACCAAGCAGGTCGAGGGTCACACCATTTGCGCTCTGGGTGAGGCCTTTGCCTGGCCCATCCAGGGTCTCATCCGCCACTTCCGTCCCGAGCTTGAGGCCCGTATCCGCCAGTACGAGAAGGAGCTTGGCGCTGCTCCTTACGCTGGCGGCTGGCACCCCAACAGCCGTGCTGAGGGCAAGCTCATCTCCCCCGGCATGTAAACGCACACCTCCTTCCATCCTCAACACCTCTTTTCTCCCTTTTGTGTCCCTCAAAAAGAAGCAGGAACGGCCTAGACCTCTCTTATTCTTCGCCCTCTTCGGCCGGTAATGTTCTTGTCTCTTCCCCGTCTGGTCCGGCCGGGGAGGGTGGTGTTTCTATTTCCTTTACTATGTTCGATCCCCTCTGTTCCTCTATCGCGCCTAGGTTTTTTCCTTTCTATTGTACAGTCGGTAGCAAATTTGATGCATTTGATGTCTTCATTCGTGCTGTGAACAATGTGGTTGAAGGACCTCTCGGCAAGAGATAATCTACAGGAACGTAATGAGTCAATTACATAGCACTGGTCCAGCGGATATAGCCAAACCAGTACTGACTGACCAGGACCGAGGGAATGCCAATATCATCATACCCAAAATTATGAGGACCGCAGTTCTTCAACATTAGTTCTCACTTCTCGGTAATCATCTTTCTGCTCCGGATGCTCGAACTTCCCTTCAATACTGACCTGCGCCTCGCTGCTCGCTTTCTTGCGCTCATCCTTCAAGAATCTTTTCTCCCTCCACCCCATCCCGTGTTCCATTTCAACCCAAAGCAATCCCATGGCAGTAGCCATTGTCAATCCCAAGAAAACAAAGCTCCACCCCCAGCCCATAGCATCCATCATCTGATTGATCACAGCAGCACCAATGGCTCCCAGCCAGCACCGGACAAGGTTGCACGCAGCCGCAGCTGTGGCAGGCTTGTCGGGAAAGAGATCAACAAGAAGGGTGTTGAGACAATTCAGCGCTGCAACAAAACAGAAACCCATGATGAACTGCAGAACAAGAGGTGCGGCAAGATTTACTCTTTGCTGTAAGACCCAACCGTAGGAAATTAAGGCTGCGATTCCAATTGTCAAGACTGGGAAGATTATTTGCAGGCGGGCATGCTCGACAGGGAATCCGCGTAGGTTGTCACCGTTCGTGCGGTCTATGGGCAGACCCAGTCTCTGGGCTATGCGCTTGTAGTTGTAGTCGATTACTTTGCCGTATAGGATTGAACCGAAGCAAGCACCGATCCCGAAAGGCCTAGACGAAGTTGACTTAGTTGATGGTCTTTTTTTTTGTGATTACTCCCTCTATAAGCCCCGGAGACTATGATGGTGTGTCAACTCACAGGAAGCAAAGGCCGATCTGGAGTTCATTAAACCCATACAGATTACCGAAGTGATTGGCGGTGCTGGTCAATAGCGCAATGGTCGAGAACAGAATGAGACCAACATACGCCATGATGATTAATGCATCCCGTTCCAGCAGGACAGCAAAAGTCTTGAGAGGATTTGGGAATCTGAGACCTGTCTGCCGAGACTGGTGCTGAGATGTCTCTTCCAGATGGGACTGATCGCCAGGTCTTCTTGTCTGTCGAGTCGACCACCATTGAATTACAGATTTACGCCACCATTGAGTAGGCGGCGAGCCGCCATCTCCAACGACTTTGCGCGCAGTCTCGGGCATAAAAAGCACAAAGATTACCAGATATCCACTACTGATGATGGCCAGGAACCAGAAGACGCTTCGCCATCCGATGAACTCTGCCAGTAGGCCACCGATCACCGGACCTAGCGCAGGTGCAACATTCACGCCGGCTGATATGGGACCAATGTATTTGCCTCGCTCGGCCGTCGTTGTGATGTCCACTATGACTCCATAACCAAAGGGGACCGTGCCGCTAATTCCAGCACTCTGGACACAGCGAAGAACCAGCAGAGCCGGGAAGCTGTTTTGCAACGCCAGGCCAATGTTTGCGGCGATATAGATCGCAAATGCAACGATGTAGGCCGGGCGTCTTCCTCCGGTATCCGCAAATGTACCCATGAAAATTGCCGCCAATCCTTGCACGATCATGTATGTTGTGATCGTCAGATTGACCAGCTCTGTGGTGAGATCGTATTTATCGACCAAGGTGCGCATAACGGGGTAGTAGATTTGACCGGATAGGAGGGAGAAGAATGAAGCCAGGCTGACCATCATCACGATGAATAGCTTTTCGTTTTGGCTGAAGGCAGAGAATGCCCGGGTCTCCAGTGCTGTCTCTGTTGTCTCTGTCTGGGCCTCGGGGACAGGCTGATTCAATTCACTTGACGCTTCCTGGACGCCAGGTTCACGGGCGTGGGCCTTGTAAGCTATATTTCCTTCTGTCAGCTCCATTGTAGAGGACGAGGTGGCAATAGGACCAATGTATGATTGAGTGCGAGCAAAAGTAGGCAGATTGAAGAGAAGGCAAAAAGAAAAGAGGAAGAGAGGAAGAGGAAGCTGTTGGCTCACATGGCCACACCCCCAAGGTTTTGGGGAGTGTCACTGAGAACTACACAAAATCTACAGTACGACACAATACAAGTCCATGTGATGGAGAGAGAGATCTATGAGGATTTAACTGGTTCAAATAGTAGATTGAGTAATATTCAGCGACAGGGCAGAGGGTAGAGTACAATAGGGTCGTGGGAACCATTGGAGATCGTTTGGGGAACAAATGGAAAAAGAAAGCAGACAAAAGAGAAAAGAAGAACAGTGTGTGCTTGAAGAAAGCTCTGAAAATCTCGAACGAACTGATGCAAATTATGGAAATCTTTTATCACATTCTTCAATGGCCACCCGCCATGATGATACCATAGTAGCGACGACTCATCTCCGCAGTTTGCAAGACACGAGCATCACCCGTCAAGGGGAGTCCCAGGATAGCAGAGGACTGAACAGATTGAACATCCTCATGGGTGATCCAAGTGGCGACGGCTCGGCTCATCTCCTTGAACGCAACGCGCTCCTCGAGACCCTCCAAACCTGTGTCCTTGATGCGATCGCCCATCGCGACGAGAGCATTCACCAGTCTGTTCAGACGAGTGGGGTCGCGACGGCCGGTGGTGGAATGGACTAGGCGTAAGAAATCCTCGTAGACACCACCACCAGAGGCCCAGCCGCGCATCTTGCGCTCCGGTCCATCACCGAACCCGGAAACCAGTGCCCCCAGAGTGCGGTAATCACCCTCGATAATGGCGCTGGGTGCGACAATTCGGCAGAATGTGGCGTGAGCATCGTTCCAGTGCTTTCCACGAATGAGGCAATCAACCTCACGGGCCGAGTCACCAATGTCGCGGGCATAAAGAGCCTTGGCAACCCAGATCCAAGCTTCGGGAAGCTGGAGGTCGGCGACAAGATATTGCCATCCGGCATCGGCGGAGCCGTCGGCAGCGAAAGGCTCGGGAAGTTGAGCAGCAAACCGAGCGAGGGTGTCCTGGGCAGCACGTTTGCGGTCCTCGGCCTGGGAGAGATGTAGAAGAACGAACAAGGCCTGGGCGACATCGCCACCTGCACTGAGCTCTGAAGCGAAGTCCCAGACAAGGTGGTCGGTCTGGCGTTGGTCGATCTTGATAGCTTGTTGCTGCCCGAGCGTGGCAGTGAGGACATGATGGAGCTGGAAGGAAAGTCGGTTGGAGAGACGATCACCGGAGATCGATTCGGGGAGCAGAGATGCCGGGAATTGAAGAGATTCGGCACCATTGCCGTAAGTGACTGAGAAAGCCTTCAGCAAAACCCAAAGAGGTGATTCGCGGCCTAAAGTGTCAGAACCAGGCTGCACACGAGCATTGTCCTGGTGCGAAGATGGGTGAGGGAAGGCAGGTTCATGTCCAGTGGCCAGGTCTGCAAGGAATTTGGACACAGCGGCCTCAATTGGCTCATCTTCAGAGGTACAATACCAGAGACGAAGACCAAAGGCTTGGAACCAATCCAGGTCGAACCGCTCGGTCAAGCCAAAAGTAGAAGCTCGGTCCTCGAGTGCACCGCTCGATTTGCCCTCGCTGCGAAGAGCATTACCAGCAATCAACTCGTAGAGCGCGCGTACAGGTTCACTCATCTCGGAAAGCACATTGTTCTGGCGCCACACTTCGATTTGATTCGCAATACCGACCCGAGAGGTAGCATCACGGCCAATTTGTGCGACCAAAGTGGCCAGATGAGGGTTTTGACTGTCCACGAGGGTCTTACACGCTTCCTCCACTCGGTGCGCACAAATCAAATGGACGGCGCGTTCCACCGGGCAACGAATCAAATCTAAGTTTTGAGTGTGCTTTTCACGGACGATTCGTTCCCAAAGACGGGTGAGTCGGTCCTTTTTGATACGGTGGGAGAATTGCTTCCGTAGCCTTGGGGGAACGCCGGCCGAGATATCGTCCTCCACGTCGTCATTGAAAAGGATGTTAAGGAGTTGCCAGATAAGCCGCTCTTCCTCTGACTGAGAACGGCTGGAGGGGGACAACGGGAATTGTGACAGGTCGATCTTGGCCATGCGGACCAAAGGAGTGCCGTCAACACGCTCAATAGCAGATTGATTCCGTTGCACGTCAAGCATTTCCTTCGCCTATTGGATTGTTAGCTTCAAGTACAAGATTTGGAAAAGAAAACTGGGCACACCTCGCTGGATTTGTTGTAAGCCATCACTGCAATACTTCTCTCTTCGCTGAAGATAGTGTAACTTTCTTTCCAGGTTTGATCAACCTCTGAGATTGTCTCTTGCATGTCGTTCCTGGCGCACACAAGTGAGTCCATAGGACCCCACCGTGGTTTGAAAGAATCATGGAAGGCAGCGTCGGATTCGGTCATTTGTGTCGCATCACCGGCAAAGGTCTTCGGTTGTTTGTTGTAAGGCCACTGTAAAGAGGAAGAAAAGTTTTAGCTTATGCGATGTCACATTGGTCAAAAACTATCTGGGGTGAATGTAAAATGGGCTAGGTACACGAGGGGCGGGGGGGGGGGGGGGGGGGGAAAAAAAAAAAAAAAAAAGGGAGGGGGGGGAAAAAAGAGGGGTTTAAAACGCGGGACAATTTGCTGCAGAGCCGGGTGCCACCGGTGGGGGAGGGAACTC